CTCACAGAAGTTAAGGATGGCATTTGCTGGGTAATCTGGGACCTAGGGACCTTCTGATCAGGTCCGATCAGGGACTGCCCTGATCTCCCTGCTTTCCCGTGCACAGCAGTGTTTGAGTGAAGTCCCCAGGGCGCAGCAATGGCCAGGACCGGGGGAGAAGGGGGCCATTTTTATTAGATTGGGTACAGATAGAGCAAGAGGAGCACTGCTACCGGAATCAGAAAACAGAGGCCTCTTTTTAAAGGTTTTAAAAGATAAAATAGCCGTGTCAACCCACAAAAAAAGGCAAAACTGAAGAGTAAAGGAAACAAATAAGTACATTTGTAAACACTGGCTGATAAGTGAAAGGCTAACAGAAAACTGGACGCTGGTGAAATAAACTGTGAATTAAGGAAAAAATGGAACAACTTGCACGAACTGCACCTACCACAAAGTGACAAAGCATGGAAATAAAATGCTGGAATCCTAATCAAAAGAAAGTGAGGGTAGAATTTATGGCAAAGGAGAACTTAGACTGAAGCGTTACTCGGAACATCCGCCATCCAACCTCGTGCAAGGGAGAGAGGAGAGAAGGCGGCGGCCCGTCTCCCTCCTCCTGCCTGCGACAGAGAAGGTGCACTTGGAATTCAAGATCAAGTGTCCAGCAGCCCCACTCCATCCCACCAGCCGATGGCCCCACGAGCTGCTGGGCACCCAGCACGTGCTGGGTAACTGGGGAATGAATTTTAAATTTTTATTTAATAATTAAAATTTAAATAAAAACAGAAGCAGTATTATTTTTTTTTCCTGCTATCCCCAACTCTATTGTTTTGGAATGCAATGACAATTTAGCACCTACAGTTAAATGTGCCATAAATGTCAAACACACTGACTGCTAAATTAAAATGCTAATGTGCACCCGTAATTTTTATCTTGATTTTATGTTGAAATGAAGGATGTGGAACTATTGGGTGAAACAAAACATAGTTAAAATGAACTGCACTTGTTTCTTTTTCCTCTTTGTATTTAGTTATTTTGGTGGGACTGGGGTTTGAACTCAGGGCTTCGTGCTTGCAAAGCAGGCGCTCTACCGCTTGAGCCCCTCCCCTAGTCCATTTTACTCTGGTTATTTTGGATGGGGTCTAACTGAACTTATTTGCCGGGGTTAACGTTGAACTTTGATCCTCCCAATCTCAGCATCCTAAATAGCTGGGATTACAGGCGGGAACCAGAGGTGCCTATTTTTTGTTTTTAACTTTTTAATGTGTCTACTAGAAATTCTGGCTCACATTACATTTCCTCTGAACAACACTGTCCAAGAAACAGGCTGGCCTGGAGCTCACACTCTTCCTGCCTCTGCCTCCTCGAGTGCTGGGATCACAGGCGTGTACCACCATACTTAGCCTTGGACTCACTGTGAGGGTTTCAGAGAATGTTTTTCAAAAACTAATCATCACTAAAAATAGTGAGAGAATATTACGACAGACTTTATATTTAAACTCAAAAGAAGTGGGTCAAAAGAAAGAAGAGTGTAAACATAAAGAGCAAAATATGCAGGATGTGATCATTCTAACCATGTGGCCAGGTCAGTTAGTTTATCCCTTTTGTGGTCAGTGTCTGAGGACCTGATACAAAGGCCCTCTCCCTAATTTCCAGGAGGACCTCACACTTCCACAGTGCTTAGGCTGTAAACCAGTATCATCAAAAGTGCAAATAAATGAAGCAGGCAATGAAAATTCTAGAAACATGAACTGAAACTCCCAAGGAAACCAGGAAAAGGAATCATAGCAAGACAAGAGCCAAGCTGAAAGCAGAACTGCTAAATCCAACTGCTAGAAAAATGAGCCCAGAAAGCAAATGTATAAATCTTTTTAGAAGTGAGGGAGAACTAACTTTACCACAAACCACAGGTTCAACAGTTAAGGGAGTATTCTGCATAGCTGCATAGCAATACAGTTGAAAACCAAAATTTTCCCCCCTATAAAATTCTAAGTAAAATTGACAAAATAGAAAACCCAAATCAACAACAACAAAAAAAGGATTATACTTTTCTAGGCTTCTCTGAACTGTTTCCTCCAAAAGCACCAGGATCTGATGAATTCCTGGGTAAACTGCATCAGATTTTGATGCTTCCCCCAGAAGAGTCACTTCTACTCTTTCTACAGTCTCAGTGTTCTGGGGACCAACTTTCAGCCCCATATACAGCTGGCCCAGTATAAAGCCACTGTCACGCAAGATGACCTCCCATGTATCACAGAAATCTGGAAAGTTCTGTAGTCAATCCTGTGAAGCCAGCAGGGTTGCGGCCCCACCCATGGTAAGAGACAGTCTGAGCTTTGCAGTGATGAAGACATGATAACCTACATGAGTACAATCTTCTCTACAATTAAAAGCCACATATTCAGCGGGCACCAGTGGCTCACACCTGTAATCCTAGCTACACAGGAGGCAGAGATCAGTAGGATCAGGGTTCGAAGCCAGTCCAGGCAAATAGTTCTCAAGACCCTATCTCAAAAATACCCTTCACAAAAAGGGGCTGAAGTGCTCAAGGTGTAGATCCTGAGTTCAAATCCCAATACTGCAAAAGAAAAAAAGAAAAGCCACATACTCAAAAGGATCAGAGAGATCTCATGTGAATAACGCAAATAAACTAGTAAGTACATCTGTGGACAAAAGATGTGTGAGGAGCTAACTTGAAAAATGCTTAGTGGAAGAATGTTCCAGCTCAAATTAAGTAAGGCAACAATTGCTATTTTACACAATAAATTATTTAAATCAACTCTCCCAGCACAGCAAACATTTGCTTATGTTAAGATTTTTTTTCCTCAGGGCTTCTGATCTTAGCCTCGGGTGGCCAGTTTTCCTATCGTCTGTTTAGGAAGCAGGTGGATTGCAACTCACCTAACCCCTTCGCAGGGCAAGGGGCATAAAACAGGGTGGTGACCCGGCTTAGCTCTGCCTGTGTGAGCATCTGGCCCATGGGACAGATGTGGTTGACGCATACTGACAACAGCCCAGATTCTTTAATCAGTTAAAGAATTAACACAACGTTAAATAATTTGTTAGCAGATTCGTAAAACCTAATGTGTTTCTCTCAATTCCCGGCATGTTTAAAACAGGGCTGAGGAGTGGCGGGGCTTTCCGTCCCCGGTGTAGTACATCATAGAGGAAATTCTTTACAGAGAAAGATCACTACTTCAAGTCTTATCCAGCCTCCTTCCCGAAGCTGCAACTATCTTCTTTATCAACCTTTCTTATCTGCTTCATTACTTTGGAGTTCTAGCCAGGAGCAGTTAAGTGTCAAAAGTCTTTTTGAACTTGACCTGGAGATTTTAAGCCAAGTGGAGGAAAGACTGGTAAGTCTGGTTCTGTGCAGGGCCCTGTGCCAGGGGGAAACTTTACATCCCTGTAATTTATCTGTCGTGACAGAATTTTCTAACAGTGTGTCATTAGGTATTAATGACATGAAATAATTACTGTTGGAGTGACCTTTTGTCAAGGGGATAGAAACAGGACGACTCATTTAACAGCAAGGGAACACAGTAATGTGTGAAAACTGCATCTTGGGAAGGTTCTAGCATGAGGTGAATACAGGAGCCAAGGAAATTTCCCTGTATTGTGGCTTGAGTTGAGTGACACACAGCAAGGGCAGTGGACAGTATGAGGCTCACACTCTGGTAGAAGTCTCGGGAGAAGTCTGCTTTTCAAAACGTCTCTGGACAAACTGCACTGTTCTAAGGCCTCTTTCTGGCTCTTTGACACCAGTCCCTACAAAATCCTTGGCCCATGATGTCCCGAACAGCAGGAACATAAAATCACACCTTCACATTGTTGAACTGGACGCCCTGGTGTGGAAACACAACCTGAGCAGTGGCTGATGGCTTTTGGTTCCTAATGTGCCAAGTCAAATGTGTTTATGGCCCATTCGCGGAGCGTTCAAGTGCACCCAGCAAGAATTTTTCCTAATCGGAGTCGGAGCCTCTGAGCTGGCACAGACAGTGCTATTTCTGAAGACAACTTTCCCACTATGAATAAAGTCAACACTACCTGGGTGGAGAAAGCACCACCCAATGTCTGAGCCAAGTCTCGAAGCTGACAAACCCCTGTGAAATGTCACGTAAGATGATCTGGCTGCCGCAGGACACATCCGACTGGGTCCCTCAGGATCTGGGAAGTGTGTGGCTCTTCCATAAGCGTTTGTCGAGCAGAGTTCCAAACAGTGCTGAAATGTCCATGTGGAAGGCAACCATGATGGATGAGAGAGCATCAGCTTTTAGCCTGATGGCCTCCCGTTCTCAGCCTTTCTTCAACGGTACAGCTAACATGGACACAGCTTTCTAGTTCGCAAAGCATTTCTCACGAATCACCCTCATCCCTAGACTGCAGCTGAAATATGGGGGGCTGAGTTCTCTCCGCAGGTTTTATCTGTAAACGCAGAGGATGCTATAGTCAGAGAATAGCTGGGGGCAATTAAAAGCAAGGCCTTTCAAATTATTCACTCTCACTGCAAGCACTGCCACACCCTGGGTTTACAACAGTCAACAAACCCTGAGACTTCACTTCAAATGAGTCGGTTTTCCCACAGGAAGGACCCAAGGAGAAAAGTGGCTAGCTCGTATGTGGTGTGCCAGATGGCACGTGAAGGTCACCAACCTGCAAAATCAGGAAAGCAGCCAGAGACCTAGCTGGTATTTCGAAGAGCCATCTGTAAGATGGCAAAGGAAGAGAGGTAGAGTGTAAGCAGAACTGTAATTTGTTCTAGGATTGACCACGACAGTCCAGCACTAGACACCATTAGATCTGACCCACTCCAAGTTTTAAGGACCTAAACACCAGGGCACCTACACCAAGGCTCCACGCGGGTCACCTCCTAAAACTGATGCAGGGAGGGACCTATGATCAGAACAGCTGCAGGGGCGGCTGTGTTACAGACTAGGGCTGTTCAACGCGTGTACATGCACAACAGGTGTAGACCGTTTTAACACAAAGGCAGGATAGGAGGGGAAAAAAGCCACTCAAAGTTTCAGTAATTCAATAATTTATTCCTCTAAAAAAGTGTGTAAAAGTATATAGCTCTCATCCACTAGGTATATGAATGACATTTAAAATGAGGCTTTTATTATTGTTTCTTTTTATCAAAGTCTTTTAGTGTACTGTACCAGCGCTATACTGTAGGTTTTTTAAATGAATTTCACATATTTTGTATTCTTTCAAATTGTTTGCTATATATAAAAGAAGCTCACTGCAAAATGCTTGAAGGAAAAAAAGAAACAAAAGAAATTCAGAACTTCCCAGAAATGTACAGCTTTTACATTTAAAAAAGGTTCTGAAATATACATACAAGCATGCTGGACCATCCCACCCTTTTCCCCTCCCCCTTCCCCATTTTAGTTCAAACCATGTAAGAGTTCTGATTTCTGCAGAATTTCCAAAATTAAAAATAAAAAAAAATAAAATAACCTCTCACTCTGTAGCAAATCCAGGGCTTGTACATTTCAGATTAATTCAGTAAAAAACTCACAAGTAAAATAATGCATATTTAAGGGAAATATTATACAGACTTTTCACACAGAAGTACATAAGATTTTTTAAAATCTATTGCCATTCATTTATTTTTGCACAAAAACGTATAAATATGTCACCAGCTTTTCTTAACTTAAAAAACTTAAATAAAAGACACCAGATGAAAACTACCCTTTGCTGCCTTTTTTTTAAAAAATTTTTTGTAGGGTTTTTTGGTTTTTTTTGTTTGTTTGTTTGTTGTTTTGTTTCTCTTTTTCTGCTTAGAATTGGGAATCTAGGGAAGAAAAGCCCCGGCATAAAAACAGCCCATTTAAAAAAAATTCAAAGTTCTGATGGATTCTGGGAAAAAAAGCAACCCCAAAGTGGTAAAAGATTACAAATATCTACTTTACAATGTCTTCTCACCAAGGTAATTTTATACAAGTTTACAATCTTCATCTTATGCTCTTCAAAAGGCCTTGAGAATTTTCCTTTCTGATTAAGAAAAAATAGCAACTGCAATATTTTTAAAGTCAATTTTACACTGTACACGTTAGATACAAATGGTTTTGATATATCAGATTTTCATCTATACATTGCGAAAGTCAGCCCCTCCCCCTTCGGTTGGTGGAACAGAGAGCAAAGTCACCCATCACACTGACCTCTCTGCTTTCACCTTCCCACCACACGCTTTAATATAATGTTTTAAACGTTAGATTATTTCAAGAAAAATACTTTTACAAAATCCTATCAATTATTACATTTTCCTCTTTTTGTTAATAACCAGGACATCAAAGTCTCTTGGAAGAACTTTTAAAATTTGCATGATTCTCTCCTCCACAGCTGAAGGAGCTCATGGCTCGGCCTGGTCGGGCAGCTGCAGGAGGCCAGTCCATGCCCACTGTCCTCAGACAGAAACACAGCGACACAAGACACAAGGTTACAAACAGGGTCTCAAAGACAACCCTCGGGCCTGGAGTGAGGAGTCATAAAATACTTCAATTAGCCATTAATGCTTTAAAAAGGCATTTAAAAAAAAGTCCCACCATGAAGGTCAACTTCAAGTACTAATTTAAATGGTTAAGTTGCAATATTTCTTTGAAATATTATTCCTATGGCCCAGAAAAAATTCACCATTTTTATAACTGATTTTATGAGCAAACACTTTTGACTGTGGTATGTACATGAGTCCTTTTGATCTAATGAGAGAAGAGACCTGGCTTTCAATGAGAATTCTCTAGAAAAGTATTTTCCACATGACTGTATAGAAAACTGACTGAAGTACTTGCCTCCACAGCTCTGGGTTCAGCTTGACTGCTTTCGGGGTCATGCTAAGTGCTGGCCACTTAGCACAGCAGAACTTTAAGACCCAGTGTGTTCTGAATAAAACCTACACTGGGTGCTTTTGAAAATATATTACTTTTTACTTGTTTTCACTCCTTTTCCCGCTTCTAGGACAGAGGTATGTAGTCAAGAATCCTATGATTGATCTGAGTTGGGTTTCAGCTACTGTACCTGGTCCTCAAGAATTACAGAATTAAAAGAAAGTCACAAAAGCCATGACAAAACAACTTAAAATAAATAAACAAAATGAAGCTGTCTCCAGACCTTCTGTATGCACATGCTCTCTTGCCAACTGTGATGGGTGCACAGCAAGATGGAAACCCCACTATTAAATCACGTCCATTAGCTGGTTCTCAGCTTCAGAAGTCCCAGGTTTTGGAGTTCAGGTAACCCACAGGCCATACACCAGTAGCTAGAGGATTTCATCCAAAGGGCTGAGCTGCCCTCAATTTTAAACAGAGGCTGAGAACACAAATTCTTGTGCAAAAGGATACTGTCTCTTCTGTTTTCCTCTTAAAACACACCAGCAGCCACCACTTCCTGGGGCTGGGAGCTGCACACACCACACACTGGCTGCACGTCACTACTTATCGAAGTTTCCAGGTCCACGTGAGAAGTGTCAAGGAGTCACTGTGGCAATGAACACTGCAGAATGGACATGTGCCTGCTGAGAAGGTGTCACAGTGCAGGACTGTGGAGAGTGGTCTGAAGAAAAGGACGGGGCATTTGCAGAGGGCAGCAGGTTCCTCGGACCGAGGCTGCAGAAGGAACTGAGCCAGAGAGAACAAATGCTTCTCCAATCAGAGTATATTCATGATGGCATTGTACAACTGAGTGAGCACCACAAAGTGGACGGGGAGGCAGGAAGTACGGTCCTGGGTGGCCGGATTGCATGTGAGCCAGGACAGGGCGTTGTACTGCTCCAACACAAACCTGCAGGCAGGAAACAAGGATGAGCACACCATCCCTCAGCATTCAATGACAGTAGTTGAAAAAGCATGTAATACCTTAACAATATTTTGTATTGATTATATGTTAAAATGATAATGTTGCTACATTAAGTCAAATTGAATTATTTTCAACATAATTTCACAAAAAAATTAACTTCACTACTTCCTTTTTTATTATTTTGTGGCTACAGAGAACAAATTTGGTTTTTGTTTTTTTAGTTAGGGTCTCACTACATAGACCAGGCTGGCCTTGAACTGCAGATTCTCACTTCATTTTCCAGACTACTAGAATTACAGGTATGCACCACCACACCCAGCTAAAAAAAAAGTCAATTAGATAAGGAACTCTCTTTATATTTATTACCCAGTTCCATCAGAGGCCCCAGAAGCCAAATTCATGTTGATTAGGTTTTTGCTTAACTCTTATTTCCAAATCATTTACAAGTTAGAAGACATTAGACAAAGCTTGTATATTTTCTCTAGGTATAGAAGAATTTTTATGGACTGCTAAGAACAGTGCAAATGAATGAATCCACACTTTTGGGATGGGTTTCCTGAGGAGAGCTCATGTTCTAGTGAATTTTATAGTCACATATCTGTGGCAGGGAGGGTGGAAAGAGTCTCAATGCCAAGCACTTGAAGCTGCAGGCACCAGGAAATGCCTCCTCTGAACAGGAAGTGAGGCGAGTGTTAAATGCACAGTTATCTAATGGAACAGCCCATGTGGGGCTGGCAGCTCAGGATCAGACATGCTCTCCGCACAAATGGCAGTGCTCCGTCAACAGCACCCTGAAGCAGCGCACTGGGCAAATAAACAGAGAGGATCATTTCAAATTGGACAGCTATGTTGCCTCAGTCGGAATCTACCTTAAAACATCAGATGTGGTCTTGGAGTCCAGAGGGTGTGGGACCCGCTGAGAATTCCTGGCAGGCAGAAGTTCATCTGTCTGTGCTACAGAGATGTGGTGATGGAGTGAAGCCTGGGAAAGAACAAATACCATTAGCCTCAGATCCAGACAAGCACAGAGCAGAAAACGGCTGCCGGGGCAGGGCAGGTACTCGCTCCCCAGTTGTGCTCCAAGCTGTTCATTAGCCCATGCTGGGTGTGGGAAGAGCAAGCTTGGGCCACATTTAACCCAACTATGATTTGTATCTTGATAGAAATGGTCAAATATACAGAAAAACAGTACATAAGGTTCCATGTGCCCACACCACCAAACTGGGGCAATTGCTGTTAGATGTCTTTTTCGGTTATTTTTGTTTTTTCCCTCTCTGGATTATTTTAAAAACAAAAACAAATATTGAATCAATTTGCTTATAAATAACCCAGGTATTTTGTAACTCAGGTATTATTTAAAAACTATATTATCATAGGCAATAAAAATTAACTATTCCTACCATGAATAATTTTTTCTGATAATCTCAAAATGGTCTTTCTTTCTTTCTTTTTGCAGTACTAGGTTTGAACTCAGGGCCTGATGCTTCCTAGGCAGGTACTCTACTACTCTGCCAGGCTGGCCTCAAACCACAACCTTCCTGATCTCTGCTTCCTGAGTAGTTAGGATTACAGGCGTGAACTACCAGTGCCCAGCCTCAAGAATAACTTCTTAAAATCATGAGCCAACGTGGAACTCTACACTGCAAATGACTGAGTAGTGGGTCTCTTAAGGCCTTGTCTGGGAAGGCCCCACAGTCTGCCATGGGGGTCTGTATCCTTCTAGTGTTTCTTACCATGATCCTCTCTCTTCCATCTCATCAAGCAGTAGTTATATCCATTTCAGAGTGTGGGGTAGGCAAGAATTTTTCAGAGCTGGGGCTACATCCTAATTAGATTACATCAAAATGCAGCTAATGGCCAGGGTGCCGGTGGATCATGCCTGTAATCCTAGCTACTCAGGAGGCAGAGATCAGGAGGATCGCAGTTCAAAGCCAGCCCGGGCAAAGACTTCAGAAGACCCTATCTTGAAAACACCCAATACAAAAAAAGTGCTGGTGGAGTGGCTCAAGGTGAAGGCCCTGAATTCAAACACCAGTACCGCAAGAAAAAAAAAAAAAGGCAGCTAATGTCTGTCATTGTGCTTGGAGTAGTGTGAAAAACCATGAGGTTCAGCAGACACCACCACGCTCTAATCTTTCAAAGGTTCCTCATCAATTTGCCACCGAATGGTTTCAACATAGCTCACTTTATTAAATAACTGGAAACACAGTATGGATGGGGGAGGTAGTAGAGAAATACATGGCTCTTCCACTCATTTTCAACTTTCAGTTTAATGAACCACGCCCTGGGCAGACACGGGGTAAGCTGACTGCCATGCATTCTGTTGTTTCTCAGCACCATCCTGAGTCCGAGGACTTGTCTCAATCCATGGCCACCATCAGGTTTCCTAATGACCCAACTGTTCCATCCTTGGCCTGCAAGGTTACCCTGAGCGTGGCTCCTGAGGCTTTGATGCTAAGTTAGCTTAGCCTTCTGTGCTTTCTTGCTTTTAGGGGTGACAAGACATCCTAGGTACATCCTGAACATTTCTTACTCCAAACTGGAATTAGTCACTTCTTCAGTGAGCCCTGGTTCTTGTGAATGACTAACAGTATTAGGAACCAGGCTCCTGGCAAGAGAGGGTTACTGCTGATAAGCTCTTGTTCCTAAGCTAACAAATTAATATATACTTTTTTGTGGTGGTACTAGGGTTTGAACTCAGGGCCTTCACCTTGGACCACTCCACCAGCCCTATTTTTGTGAAGGGTTTTCAAGATAGGGTCTCATGAATTATTTGCTATTTGCCCAGGTTGGCTTTGAACCGCGATCCTCCTGATCTCGGCCTTCTGAATAGCTAGGATTACAGGCGTGAACCACTAGTGCCCAGCTGAATATACTTTTTTAGAGAAGAAAAAAAACCAAAATAAATCTAGGCTGAAAAATTCTAATCCTAACTGAAGACTACAGGCTTGGCTTTTATATTACTTCTTTGATCTTATGTTAAAGTTCTTAGGAAAAGAAAATGACTTCATCTTGTAAGTGTTTTACTTACTCTTCCCTATATTCTTTTGCAGAGTATAAAGTTATGTGTGTATGGATCGGGATCTTACAGATTACTCTACGATAATCTACACTGAGCAAAGTGCTAAACAGGACTAGCCTTCGCTTTTGTGCTGGATAACCAATGCTCTACTGCACAGATGCACCACAGATGGCTCAATAAGCCCCTTAAACACACATTCACCTTTTTTCTAATTCTCACATCACTTTCTGGTCGTTTTTTTGAAATGGGGTTCTGCTATGCTGCCCAGGCTAGTCTCGAACTTGAACTTATACATTTAAATACTACTCCACCTTAGCATCCTGAGTTGCTGGGGTTACAGGCATGCATTACTGTACCAGCTATACATGTTATTTCTTATTTTTGCAAAATAGGTTTCCAGAGGCGGTTCTGGCATGCCATGGAGACACTCGCAGGCCTACTATCACTCAGTACTGCCCTTGCCACTAGGCTTCTCCCACAGTCTGGCCATCAGGAAATCCCATCAACCCTTTCTTGCAATCTGTGGTGAAAAATGGAACTGATTCTAGGTCTTTCACATGATCTGCAAGTAAACAATCTTTTCTTTTTAGCCCTTAAAACCTGGACTGAAAGGTTCCAAAAAATGTACATGAAGAAACAAATGTAAATGTGGAATCTTTTTCTTTCTTTTCTTTTTTTTTTTTTTTTTTCGGTACTAGGTTTGCTCTCAGGGCCTCATGCTTGCTAGGCAAGTGCTCTAGCACTTGAGCCACGCCCCCAGCCCTTTCTGCTTCCGTTTTCAGATGGGACCTTGCTCTTTTTTCACCCAGGTTGGTATCAGAACACAATCTTCTGCCTATGCCTCTCATGTAGCTGGGACCACAGGCCTGCACTGCCATGTCTGGCTTGCTTTTGAGGCAGAATCTCACTAACTTTTGCCCAAGCTGGCCTTAAAATGTGATCCTCCCAATCTCTACCTCCCACAAAGCTAGGATTACAGGCATTAGTCACCACATTCAGCTCTGAATGTGTAATTCTTTTTAGTAGACTCTTACTCTTCTCTAATGAAGAATGTTGACAAACTGGGACGGGGAAAGACAGCTGTGACTTCACCAATAGCCACCCGATAGGGACGATCAGATTCAGTATCGTAGTTCTACTGAACTACATGTTGCTCCAACATTTACTCTTCAGACCCCACAAAGTCTCCACCTTGGGTTAATGAGGAGTCATTTCTTTGTGACACAGTGTGAGCCCCTCTCCTATAACCAAGATATCCTTAGAGTGTAAGGGACACAGAGAATCAGGAAGTAGAAAAAAACTATGAGGGTTAAGACAGAAATTTCTAACCAAAATTGAATTGAATCATACACCACTCACTCCTCACAAACTGCAAATGAGGACACTACACCAACCTTTAGGAAGAGAGGGCACTGGTTCTGTGCCTGAGGACATGATGACCAAAACCACTGGGGGAGCTTCTCAGCTTTGGCAGTCGACACAAAGTACCCAAGGGCCAGAGGCTGCTGCTTGAGCTCCTCTGGAGCTTCTCTCGAGAGGAGGCGCTCGCCCTGGCTCTGAAAAACAAGGCACAGATCTGTCACCAACTCACTCTGCACACCGCAGTGACTACCCTTGCCTGGCACAGAAGTCCTGGGTGACTAAGAAGGTAAACAGGAAAGGCCTCATCTTTTCCACACACTGACAGCTGACAGAACTACAGCTCCACAGAAGGTACCAGCAAAACTGATGTCAGTCAGGTATCAATCAATTTGCTCTGGCTTCTTCTATGCAGAATTTCTGTCAATGTTGCTCGTGGCATTATGACAGAGCCCACTGAAGTGGAAAGACTGCAGGCTCCAACAGCAGAAGGTCTACCAACACTCAGGTGCAATTTCAGCATCAGCCACCAAAACCACGGGACTGCACCTGGCTATCTGCTCTCCTCTACCTAGATCAGGATGATGGGGCTTGCTCCAGTGTTGCACTGCACCGATCTTACTCACCTGCCAGCAGGTGAGAGTGCTTGTGAAGATGTTCTACCTGCCTCCTGCTGGAATCTTACCACACCCTTCTGCAACTGACACCTTCCTCATCTTTAATTCATTTAGCTAGCTTCAAGAATTCCAGTGTGCTTTTCACGCAAGTCATCAGTTTGTTTTTAAAAGCCTTCTGTTCAGAGGAAGGCAATGATCCTCAACCACTGCAGCAAATTTTACCAATTCTGTGTGGGTTAAAAAATAAAAACTTAATGCCACACTGAACACATTTTTTCTCCTGTTGTAATTAACTGGGTACCAAAGAAGTTTAATTATTTAGAAAAAAGAAAAGCTAAAAGCCTCCTGGTCACTTGGCCACAGGTTCTCAGTACTGGAAAAGGTCAACTGACAAGTTTCAGAACAGTGATGCTCAAATAGTGACAGTCAATTAAAAACTAGGTCTTGAGACTCCAGCAAAGGCAGAAAGTACAGCACACCAGTTTCTTACAAAACCAGTATTATACATCCATGACCAATTCTTTGTTAATGGATAAACTGAATTTCAGCACTAGGTACTGGAAGGAGATGTTGCTGTTTCTACTGCACAGATAAGGTCAGTAATGTTAGAAAAAGTGAAGCAAGCTTGTCCAAGGTTGTAAGGACAGTATGCCGAGGGCACAATTCAGAACTGTCTTCACAGACTCAGTGCACATATTCTTAGCCAGTATGTCACTTGCCTCCAGAATTCCTAATTTTAAACTATCCAGTAGAAAACTTGTGGTTTTGGTTCCTATTACAACATCTCCAGTGAACAAATTGTAAAGGAAATAAAGACATGTAAAATCTCTCCTCCCAGAAGGGGGTAATGGAAACAGGGATAGTTGCCCTTCCCTGGTTTCACTTGCTCTGTGACCAAACTAGGCTTTAATTCTTTCTCTTGGTTGTCCTTCAATGAATTCAGTGTTGGCAGTAAAACCTCCACCTGACAGAAAAACCTAACTCCTTTAAGTCTACTTTTGCATCTAAAGAAACAAGTGTGAGCAGAGTTGCTTATACTTGTTCAGTCTAAGACTCTAGACATAGCTATTTTTCTACGATTTAACCCCATAATCTCAAAGCATTTTAAATAAAAAAGGTTAATACAGTGAGGAGGCATAAATCGTCTAGCTGTGGCAGAGCCTTTTTACTGTGTAATCTTCTGTGAATGTGACTGAGACCCCAGGGATATTGAAAGATGAAACTAGTGAGCCCTGGCTTTTTCCTTCACTCTCTGGCATTAATCTGACATTTCTGAACCATCGCCTCCTGATGGCTTGTGCTCCTCCTTCAGGTGGGCTACAGACAAGGCCAGGACTGTGTAAGTGAAGGGACCGAGATGCAAAAGAGGTCCAGTCAGGCCTCTTGCAGAGCAAGCCACCATCAAAAGTATTCCTCAATTAACAGTTACTATGCATGTTGAATAAATAGGGCTACTGACCTAGCTGCTTAAAACCCATTATTTTGGCTAAAAATAAGAGATTTTTCAAAATAACTGAAGTAGCAAGCAACCAAAACCCTTTCTGCTAAAAGAACAATTCCATAGACCTACTGTACTAGGCAGGCGATGCAGTTCAGTGGTAAAGCATTTGCCTTGGGTTAGATCCCCTGTGCCACAAAGAAAGAGGAAAAAAAAAAAAAAAATCTCATGTCTCTATCAGGACTAACTGTCTGAAGAAATTATGCACCAGGGACACTAACATATTTCTTTTAAGTTCCTGCCTTCTACACAAAATGGAATTAGAAAGTCATGTTCCCATACTTATTTCTCTGTGACCGAGACCTCGACCACCAGGAAGTGAGGTGCACACAGTGAAGGGGTGATCATAAGTCAAGAGGATTACTTTCCTCAGGGTTGTGGCTGTTTGAAACAAGCTCCTCCCAGTCACCCTTACCCGACTGTGCTGGAAGTGCGAGCCCACACCAATTCCAGGAGAGCCTGGGGAGGGAACTGGGGAGGAGTTGGGAGAGGAGTGGAGGTTCCCAGTCATTAATATGCCAATGTCATTGTCCATATCATCTGGGAATGGGAGGTCAACAAACATATCATCTGCAGGAAAAGGAAAAAAAGCAGAAAAATGAGAGAGATAATCCATACTCCCAACTTAAGCAACATCCTGTTTTACTAGTCTATGGCAGTCATGGTCACATGCTGTTAACTTAGTAAATTTAATGAGTATAGTGTGTGCAAGGGCTTTACACTGTTCCTCCATTTTATACTCCCCAATAATCTCACATGAAGTACTGACACAATGGAGAAGTAACATCTGATAAACCACACTCTGTATAACCTCCAAAGCACATAAGATGGCCAAACAGCCAAAGAAGGATTACTGAAGTTAAAATTGACACCATCAAAGAACAGCAGACTCCATCTTAGCAGGTGTGAACTTGCCCCACACAGGAGGAAGCCCATGCGAAAGGAAGATGGCACACTTGCATGAAGACGTCGTTGCTCCCGCACTGCAGAAGCAGGGTGTGCTTGCAGCAGTCATGAACATCTTTGCTACGGCTCTTCCTTTTGGTCATGCATTTGTTGTTCTGTCGTCATCATGTTGCATGTAAAAACTGGGCATTTTACACTTCACCAATACCTTTTTCTCTTTGTTTTTGTAGTTTTTTGGGATTTAAGCTCAGGGCCACCAGGCACTATGCCCCCAGCCCTTTTTACTTTAGATTATTTTTCAGATAAGGTCTTGCTTTTTCCAGGGGCCAGTGTTGGATTACCATCCTCCTGCTTATGGTCTCCCACATGGCTGGGATGACAGGTATGTACCATCATGCCAAGCTTATTGGTTGAGATGGGGTCTCTTGATCTTTTTGCCCAGGCTAGGCTCAAACCATGATCCTCCTGATCTCTGCCTCTGGAGTAGCTGGGATTATACTCATGAGCCACCATGCCTGGCTATGGATATTTCTTGACAAACACCATAACACATATCTAAATCAAAAGAAATCGATTAAGAATAATCAAGGACTGGAGGTGTGGCTCAAGCAGGAGAGTGCCTATTTTGCAAGAACAAAGCTCTGAGTTCAAACCTCAGTTTCGCCAAAAAGAAAAAAAAAAGGTAAGAAGAATAATCAAATAAGGAGTCTACAGCAAATTAGATTCCAAGGATTAGCCTAAGTAAGGTACTATTCATCTTGCCTTGTACTTTACAAACTCAAATCAGATCAACAGATTTACTGAAGGAATGGCACTCACGTGCAGAACTCTACTAGGCAATTATTTTTGCCTTTAATGGAAAAATGGAGGAAAGTTAATCACCCAGAAGAAGAAAGTATTTATTTTGTTAGTGATTATGATGGGTTAATCTTCACTGTCACCTTGATGGAACTGAGAATCATTTAGGAGATTAATTATAAAGCCCACTTCTGGGTGTGTCTGGGTTAACTTGGGGGGACAACCTGCCCTGAATGTGGGTGGCACCTCCCACAGGCTGGGGCCTAGATGGAATTAAGGGGAAAAGGACAGCACATGCAGCGCAGCATTTTCTCTTTCTGTTTCCGGGCTGCCATGACCTTTCCACCATGATGGGCAGAAACCTCTGAAAGTGAGCTAAAATAAGTCTTTCCTTCCTTAAGTTGTGTTTCTCAGGTACTTTGTCAGAGTGATGTTAAAGTAACTAACAGAGTAATAGCGCGGACCAATTAAAGCTCTGAAATCCAAATAACTCTCAGGCCTCCAACCCCCCTTTACGTCTCACATGCTCTTGATTCCACCACAGAGCAGCCTGCAGCAGCCCCACAACGCCACGCTCTTCCTCCAAGCACTGTTCATGACCAGGAGCTCCAGCACTCACCATTGTTGGGGCTGAATCCGTCTTCGTTGGGATAGTTGGCTGGAGCCACTTGAATGGTTGACGAGGTTGGGAACACCAAGATGTGTGTGCAAGAAGCATCTTGAGGGGTGTTCAGCTGAGATGACTGCATGTTCAGTGCAGTACTGCGGCCAAAAACAGAGCCCATTGTGACAGCATCTTTAAAAGAGAAACAACTGTGTCAAGTCAGCTTGTACAGCAATGACAGTCCGGAATGAGCTTTTCACAGGGAGTAGTTTGAGTTTAATGCAAATGTCATGAGGGATAGACGTGTAAGGCTGGACCCAATTGTTTAAATAGGTTCAAGAACCCAACTCAGAGCACACAGTAATGATAATACTGGAGATGTTAAAGTGTACTTGGATTGAATCCACCAAATATATTAAAAATTACGTACATATGAAGTATTTCTAAAAATAACCCTCTCACTTTTTTTCCTTCTTTGGTTGCTTACAACTTATAAAAGTACTGTTCTCCTAAATGATAAGGACCCTATAAAAATGGTACCATTCAACTAATGGTGCAGCTAACATTATTGAGTGCTTAATACATGCCAGCTTTTGTACTGAATTCCTTATTCAGGTCATCTCATTGATCATCATAGCCAAAGTGAGGCAGCAACTATTATGCCCACTTCACAGATGAGGACATCAGCACAAAGAATGTCATGTAACTGCCCAAACAGTGCAGGCAGCAGAGGTAACCTAAGGTGTAATGAGCAGCCCAAAACAGCACATCTATTTCACACTGACTAGCCGCTAGTTAACTCCATCCTCACACTACAACTCGACCAACTTCTCACAGGGAGTGAGGTAGACAAGACCTCCCAAAGGATCAAAGATATACTGTATCTGGACCATACTATAAGAGGCCAGCCTGGACAAAAACGTTTGTGGGACCCCATCTCAATGGAAAAAAGATGGGAATGGTGGCATTCACTTGCCTTTGGTGCAATAATGGGAGCATAAAATAGGGGGATTGTAGTCTAGACCACACTGGGCAAAAAGTGAGACCTTATTGCCAAAATAACCAGAGTAAAAGAGGCTAGAAGTATGGTTCAAGTGGCAAAGTGCCTGCCTAGCAAGTGCAAAGCCCTCAGTTCAAACCCTAGAATTGAGAGAGAAAAAAAAAGCTTAGTTATAAAATTACAGAACAGTTTAGTTGCTGTTTTTCCAGAAACAGCCAGCTTTTAAAAAAATATTTGGTACAAATATTTTTTTTTAAATATTTGTACATGTCCTATGTACAATTGACACTTACTGAGAACTTTCTGTGTGCCAAGCACCTTATTAAATAATTTTCTCTTCTTTGCCTTATCACCCCTCCTCAACCACATCAGAGACTATATAAAAACCTTTCAGAGTTGCTTGCAGAGTTGCTCAATACCTGTCTTCAAAAGGAGATTCAAATATTTACCAGGCTGGTGGTTAGTAGTTTTTTGGAGGGTGATCTCCATAAACTAAGAACAAACTGGGGCCAGGAAACAGTCATTAGCCATGGCTCTAAGACCTTTGACTCAGATCCAGAACTTTGTCTCATTCCCCAACTGTGTCACACAATGATAAGAATGTCACAAACCACTCCCCTTTGAAAATATCAAATGGTTTTCACTTCATAGATTGAAATGCAAGCTTCTCTTATAGACACAATAATAATGATATTAAATGGACTAAACTGATGTAATACCTAATTAATGAAACTGACAGGAAACTTACCTGGCATCACTACAAAGGACCCCTGGGGCTCCATGGCAACCAGACAGGCACTAAGGATAGAAGGAGAGTCTGCGGCAGAGATTCCACACATCCGGCACACATCCTTGAGCTGTTTGCTGATTGTCTGTAGTGAACATTCTCCAAGGAGGATACTCCAATCTGAAGTCAAATATCACAGACATGCAGTTTTTAGAAATTCATTCTGGGGAGGGGGAAAGGTGGCCCAAACAATGTATACACATGTGAATAAATGTAAAAATGATTTTAAAAAAGAAAAGAAAAAAAGAAATTCATCCTGATGTGAGGTTTGAGTGCTTTGCTAGTTTTGCTTGGCAAGTGAATTTTTATGATTGAACCCTAAAGGAAAGATGGCTTTGCACGTTCCCTTCACAGTCAAGCTTCCCTCCATCCTACAAAGCTACTTCACTGATAGAAACAAAGCTGGAGGCTGCAGTCATGTCTGGACTGACCTTTGAGAGGCCACACAGACCCTGGTAGACTTAGGCACTTAAAATGCCTTCTGATGATGAGGCCAGTGTGAGCTGTCCTAGCCTTCTCCTCCTCCTCCTTCAGGTCTAACTCTTTCACTCCCTCCAGTACTGTTCTTTGGATGAAGGCACAGTTGGGCACCTTGGTCTGTGTGCTGTGGATGGGTGGTGATTTCCATGAAAGGAAAGCAGTAGCCTAAACAATAGGTATGAGTGAGGTCTTCCAAACAATGCCACACCGAATTCAGATTCAAGACTGGAGGCACTTTCTCTAACATATGCTCACTGCCTCCAAACAGACGCATAACTTGTAAGGAAAATACTGCAGCAGGATATTACTCTGGGAAGTGAAAACCACTCAGCCCTCTCTTTTGGAGTCCCCGATACCCATGACGTCTGCACTGTTCTTGTGCAGCAAACTGCTGTCCTGTCAGATACCACTGATCCCGGGCCACTCCACTGCAGTCTTCTCTATTGCCACTTCTTTCAAACAAGCTGTTTCCTCCCTTCAAGAGCAGGTGCCCAGAAAATGTTCCTATTCCTAATGAACCACAAATTGTGGTGGGTGAAACAAAAATGGCCAGGAACATGGAGAATGCATATTTTCAAACTGAGAAAATCAGACAGATGTGAGCTCCATATTTCAAACTAAATAAGAAGTAAAGGCAGTGGGAATATTTCATCACAAGCACTCTGGAGATAAAGAGCGGAAACTCACAAAGCTGACTACCAGTTGTAATGGCTCCTATCTGACACTGTGCCATATAAAGGCCACGTGGCACACACCTTGAATCCCTAAAGGAAGGAGTAGATCAGTACAGATTTCTTGTGCACTAGTTCATCTCTGAAAATGTGCTTCCTCCCACACTCACACCTCTCTCAGAGTTCTGAGAGAGAAGGAGGGAGAGGGTGCTCCTTCTGCCAGCTGTACCAGAGAAGGAGACGTCCTTAAGCATTTTCTAAAACACCAAGAAATTAGACTAGTACACTATATCTTTCCTCCTTTTTCTTTCCTAGGCCACTCTAACCATCTCCATGGGTTAGGAATAGCTCCAAGCCTTTAAGAAAGAACACTGTCTAAAAAGCAGACTGGGAAGGAAGATAGGATACATGACAGAAAAGAATCCCCTAACATATTACCTCTGGGGTATTCAAGATTCATTTTAAGTGTGGTAATCCTTAAAAAATGAAAAGGGTCATATTTTCTGTTCACCTATAGCATCAAATATTACTAAATCTTTGTGGACAACAGATCTTAAGAAAACTTTTATTTAATACCTGTATTAATACATAGTATTTCTATAAATTAAAGGAAATCCTGAAAATGACATGCAGCTCTAACTTGCTTTGTAGGAAGTGAGTTACCCACATGATGCAAATTCTATCTGTACCAGTGGTTTTATTTAAGGGATTCCATGAATGCCTGATTATCAATTTCCTCTGTAAAGAAATTCATTTATACACTCTAACACAGGGGTTGGTAAACTATGGTTCAGAGCCAAATCCTACTCACCAATTGTTTCTGTAAATAAAGTTTTATTAACACAGTCATCTCCATTTGTGTAGGTACTGTTCATGGTTGCTTTGACACTGGGAAGCAGAATTGAGTAGCTGCAATAGTGACCATCTGGCCTGCACAGGGGAAACTATTTATTCTGGCCTTGACAAACTTCACTAACCCTAATGTATTTGCATGAGGGAGACCACTAAGCTAATTTGTGACGTAAGTTTTGCTTTTTTGCAGACCTTAGAAAAAGCTTTCTCCCACCTGAATACATATATTGAACATGTAAATATGCCATTAGTTAATAAGGCTTTTGAAGTGAATCTAGTCCTGTTCCTATTACTCATGTGAAAATTGTACAAGTAGCTATGAGGGCAGCAGCTGAGTTTGGCCTTGTGCCAGGCAAAGCAGCTGGTGGTGGTCAGCGGTGCTAGCTACTTCCCTATAGCCTCTTGACTGACTGTTATGTTTATAAGGCATATAAGCAGTGGCAGATACACTTGAGTATACAACTAAAAAAATCTGTTCTTTCTTGCTACCAGACTGAAAAATAACAGACACTGGCAATATGGATAGAGACTTGCTCTTATTTGTGACCATTTGTCCTTATGAAGCAAGATTTTCTTGCTATTATGTCACCAAAATAAGCTAGAGGAATACAAAACTCATTATCATCAACCACCAAACAAACGAACCAACTGAAGGTTGTTCTACATATGACTTCGATGATTTCAGATGTAACATTTTTGTCTTAGAACTGACTTGCTCTTTTTACTGCCTTAATATGTAAATATTTCAAATTCAAATTTGCTATCGCTTTTACAATAGTAAAACACTTTTTCTGTTTTTAAATTTTTATTTGAATAAATGATTTTGTTACTAAAGAAAAGTTTAAAAACCACCGGTTCATTCTGTAGATATAAAGCAATCAAAACATACCAACAGTTTTATCTTACTACCAACGCTCAGACTCTCAGACTCTCCCCATTTGCTCAGCTTCCTGCACATACGGCTTCAGGAATTTCTTACCTTTAAGCTCCCCGTGGCCAAGACGCCCAAGACGCCCAATTACAACTCTCCAGGGTAGAGACGTCATTTGGACAATCCCTATGCACCATTCCCACAGTTTTTGTAGGCCAATCTTACGTGCAGATACCTTACTCTTCCGTGACCTAACAAAGAAAAAAGTGGGGAAGGGGTCCCTATGTGAGTCAAGGTTACAGCTTAACAAGACAAACACAACAGAATTCCAAAGAACATGCCCATGCTGTCCCTACTGGGTTTCAGTCAGAAAATTAGGAAGACTCATATCTGAGGAAAGGGCAGCATCAACTTACACATGCCACAAACATCAAGGGCTCTCACCTGTTTGGTAAAGCAATATTTACAACGCAGGTCTCTAATAACTCCCCATGGAGGTCAGTGCAGGAAGCCAAGAGCCAGCGCTGGTCATGAGACAGGCAATAGCCCACAAAGAGCACATTGTACTTCTGGCTCGCCTCACCAAAGGTCTCTCCCAGCTCGGTCTGCTTGTCTTTGATTGGGGCCAAAATAAAGGGAGGGGAGTAAACCTGGATTGGGCTGGGCCTCTGAAATCAAAATCAAAATGAGTATCAAACATTAAGCCATTCAATTTAATGTTTACAGTAAAACCCATAACAATGACACTGAAGAGAACCAACAGGGAGAGATGACAAAAGGTTATTTCTACTCTGTCCTCTCTCCAGTACTAAGTAAGAAAATAACAGTAACACAGATAACAGAAAAGATTTTTAACTGATATAAACTAGGCAACCCACCCAACCCAATGCTGGCTTATTAAATCCACTACTATTTTAGAAAGTAAATTCGCCAATTTCATTAGAATGAGGAAAGTAGAGGCTGAGACCACAGTGGTACACTGCACACACGCCAGTGTGTGAAATAAGAAAGGTGGAGAACACGAGGCACTGATGAGAGCACACAGCAACTACAGTCTCCACACATGCTGCTCATGGTAAGACCCCTTTAGGAAAGTAGATGACAACGTCTGCTCAAGCCTAACAAACTCATACCGCCTTGGGAACCCAAACTGCACATGCATGTTCCCAAGGACAGGCACCCAGCACATTCACAACACTGTTAATCGCAATAGCTGCAAGTTGAAAATAACCTAAATATCCATCCACAGTAAAATGGATAATAAATTGGGATAGTCACACAATCAGACTATTAGGATATCAGCTACAGTCCTCCGCTCTACCAGCTGAGCTATCGAAGGGACACAACAATCAGACTATTAAAAGGCAAGAAACTACAAGCAACAAAACAAATGAATCTCACTACTGAGTAAAGGAAGTCAGCCACAAAAGAATATAAACTATATGATCCAATTTATATAAAGGTAAAAACCAAGCAAGGCTATGTTGCTAGAAGTCTGACTGTCATTAGAGTGACTAGAAAGGGACCATAGGTCTTCAGGATGCTGGTTAAGTTACTTTTAAATACTGAAAGTTCATTAAGCAGTCAAATCATTATTGAGTATTTTCTAGTGTGTATTTTATTAATGTGTGTAATGTTAGAAATCAAAGCATTAGCTGTTACTCAAAACAAAAATTTTAGACTGAACATGACAAAATTTTGTCATCTTTGCTTTTTAACAGACTACAACAACTTCCATGCAGGACCAGAAAATAGAACTTACCCTTTTAGGGCCTGTAAACATCATTTTTACCTAGCTGGCCATACAAGTACAGGTGGCAGGCCAGATTTGACCCACAGCCATAATTATGATCCCTCGACTATACAGCATGAGGCACAGAAATGACAGAATGTCAGAATTTTAAACCGAGAAGAGACCTTGGAAATAACCTAATCCAACTCATCCATTTTAGGGGTTCAAAACTGAAACCAAGAGACATTCAGGAAGTTGTTCAAAGTTGTAAAGCTCATCCATCACTAATCCACTGACACTCTATATGACCCAAAGATCCACTCTTAGCGATTTACCAAGAGAACTAAAAACGTATGTCTACACAAAAACTCTGTACACGAGGGCTAAGGGCGTGGCTCAAGTGGTAGAGCGCCTGCCTCACCAGTGCCACACGGTTGCAAAACGGGTGGAAGAAAAAGGCCACGGGTAGGGTGCTTAAGCCTAGAATATTAGGGTCATGACTCAAGTGGTAGTGGTAGTGGCCGAGTGCCTGCCCAGCAAGCACGAGGCCAACTTCAAATCCCAGTATCGCACACACAAAAAAATCAAAATAAAGGTTTTGTATACAAGTGTTCCTACTAGTATTATTCACAATAGCCAAAAAAGTACAAATAATCCAAATGTCTATGAGATATGAATGAACAAAAAGTGCTATATCCATCCCATGGAATGTTATTTAACCAACAAATGCTATGGCACAGATGAGCGAAATAAAAGAAACAAGAAATAAAAGATCACATATAAGATTCCATTTATAAGAAATATCCAGAACAGGCAGCTCCGTAGAGACGAAGGTAGAATAGCAGCTGCCAGGAGCTGAGAGGAGAAGGAAATGAGGAGTGACTGCTAATGGGCATGGCGCTTCCTTTGGGGCTTAAGGAAATGCTCTAAAATCAGTAGTGATGTTGCATGATTTTGTGAATATACTTAAACCACTGAACTATGTGCTTTAAAAAGGTGAAATTTGTGATATGTGCATTATATCTCAATAAGGCTGTGTTTTAAAAGAAAAAAAGGCCCAAGTGAGGTTATTTGAAAGTTTTGTGAAAAACCAAAGGTTCAATGCTGAATATTTTTGATTTAACAGATAGCCTGTGATAAATTATTAGGTGAAATGATTTCCAAACTGTGTTTTAAGCTACTATACACATTTTCAATTGACACACAGTAATTATATTTATCATCACATATACTGTGTATAAAACAAGTAATGATCAGATCAGGGCAACTATGTATCCATCATCTCATCTGTCCTTTGTCATTTCTTTGTGTTGAGCATATATTTTTGAGATGCTTAGTATCCCATGAAAAACAGTGATACTAAAATAGGTTTCCTCAGAAACTTGCATGATAAATAGTAAAACATTCTAATGTGATTACGTGTTTGCATGAGACTGTGGCCCAGTCTAATGTCCTGAAACCCCAGAGTAGTAGAGTCCATGAGAGCAGGAACCCAACTGCTTTGTTCACCTCTGCTCCCTCAGCACTGAGTGCAGCAGCTGGTGCAGGGCAGGTACTTGACTGCCTGTACTGAATGAGAGCACAGTGTTTTAGCTGTACAGAGGCAAGAGGCAGCGCTGACCAATCATTACCTTTACACAGGAAAAAAAATGACAAACCTAGCAAATATTTGTAACATTCAGTTCCTTTGTTTTTAACAAAGTAAAATGGCTTGTTTCTTCTTCTAAGCAATGGGGTGGGGGGGAGCTTATTAGTTGAAGTATTTTTTCGGCGGGGGGGGGGACATTACTGGAGTTTGAACTCAGGGCCTCCTGTTTGCTAGTCAGACATCCTATTGCTTGAGCCTGCCCCCAGCCCTTTTTGTTTTTGTTATTTTTGAATGTGGTCTCCCTTTTATTTTATGCTCAGGCAGGCTTGGATCACAATCCTCTTATTTCTATTTCCCATGTACCTGGGATGACAGGTGTGCCACTACCCCGCTTTTATTGGTTGAAATGAGATCTCATAAACTTTTTGCCCAGATTGGCCTCAAATAGCTATCCTCCCTATCTCTGCCTCCTGAGTAACTAGAATTACAGGTGAGAACCACCACACCCAGATTCATTATTGCATATGATGGTGATCTGCCAGAGTTATACTCTTTAAAAATATTCTATAATGCTTTGGGAAATCTTTATAAAAGGCAGTCAGACTTTAATCTCCACTATGAAATACATACTATTACTTATCACTTGAAATTGTGATCGGTTCTTACTAAAGCACCAAGACATGACTGCATCTGAATTATAGAATAACCACAAGATGTAAATAACTGAAGAATTCCATGTTTATAAAGAAAGGCAATAATTAATTTCTGGAGACAAAGTAAGAAACAGAGCTAAGTTCATTTTTTTAATTCTAGAAAAAGCTTGAAGGTAAATTGCTCAGGAAAGTAAAAATGCCCAAATAGAAACTGCACTTAACACCAGAGTGAATGTAGGTTATCAGCTGAGCAGCCTTCTCCCTTGGGACTCCCTTGGTTGGGGGAGCCCCCAACCGAGTCCCAACAGGCACAGTGTTAATTACTTGTTTCACCCTGCACTTCCAAGCCTTTACTGAGAAAAGGGTAAGCACTTCACGCGGTTTTTCAGAAACACAATACCACCTACTCTGCAGTAGCTGGTGCTTTTAAGAAGCTGTCTTAAGGTGAAGAGCGGTTTGCTGGCTTTTGTTAGCAGGTAATCTTTCATGCAATGAAGTTGTGGGAACTGATTTTGAAGGCTCTGGAAATTATGAACACTGCCCTGTACACCCATCTTTAACAAGGGAAGTGTAAACTTTTGTTTAAGATCTGTTTGGCTTTGATGGTTTAAGATGATCTGTGAACTAACGCATTAGCTGGGGGAAGTAAGTCTGAGAAGACTGAAGGAAAAGCAGTCTTCCTTCATCACATCCACACATCAGCCTACCACAGCAAGCTCACATGCCACTGCTCTCTCAGGATGCAAGACACAGGTTAGCCCGAAAAATAAAGAACAAAGTAAATACAGGAAATATGAACATTACTAACTAGAAGCAACACTGCTGCCTTATATTCCACATAAAATTGTTTTGAAAGTTCAGAGAAGTATCTTCTCTAGTTTAAGGTTAAAGAAACTTACCAGCTGTTCAACAAAAGCAAAAGAGCACCAAGCTTCTAAGCAACCTCTGGTTTAGACAAGACATGCTCCCAGCTTGCATTTGAGTATGAAAGTGCTATGCAGGCAAGGTGCTGCTCTCCAGGACTCACCTCTGGGTTCTTGAGGGTCATCTCAATGCTGGCTGCAGGCCCAAATCCCGTGAGGGATTTAATGTGGATCTGTGTTGGCAGAGGTCGCCGGCACTGGCAGTACACTGAGAATGCCATGGACTTCAAGTACTGAACGTAGAAAACTTGCTCATCCTTCGTTGTCTGCAGCATGTACTGGCAAGGCACGATCTGAAGACAGACGCCAGGGACCTTAAAACACTGCATCTGAGCACCAGCATGCTCGCAGCACAGCTGGCACACGAGGCAGCACTGACCTCTTACTTAAGTGGGGGAGGGGACTCTGACTTTAAAATGCAAACACCAAATGCAGACTGGAATCCTTCCAGTCACAAAATTCTATACTCCAAATGTCCACCAACAATTTAAGAAGAGGTACTGTCACACTGGTCAAGTCACACATTCACTTAGAAAGTACCCTATCCCCGTTTTAGGTGTAAATCTTCAATTCACTGTTACCATGGCACCCAAAATCTAAAAGTTTCGATTTACTGTATTTCTCATTTGTATAGCTTTTGCACACAGTATGTCGGTTATTATCTAAGCACTTGGGACACAGACCTCAAAGCGATGAAAAGCTATGAACAATCTACTTTGACCACCACACCTTCCATCTTTCAGTTCTACAGGCGAAGTTTCATTAGGGTGACAACAAACAGAACAGAAACACCTGAGGCATCGTATTTCACCTACACAAAACATCATTTCTCTAAAAAGGTGGCAAAAGTACAGTGAAAATAAGCATGTTCATCCGCTCTAAAAAGAATATAAGTAAGTATAACCTTTCTGCAAAGAACTTTGGTGATATTTTTCAATCTCGACACCTAAGAATCCACAATAGAAAATTACCTGAAATTAAAAAAAAAAAAAAAAGCCGGGAGGTGGCTCACGCCTCTAATCCTAGCTACTTAGGAGGCTGAGATGTGCAGGATCATAGTTTGAGGCCAGCCTGGGCAAAAACTCTGCAAGACCCCATCTCAGTGGAATAAAGCTGGGCATGGTGGCACATGCTTGGCAACCCAGATTCGGCAGAAGGATCGCGGTCCAGGCTGACCTGGGCAAAAAAACCGAAATCTTATCTCCAAAATAACCAGAGTGGAGTGGAGGAGGGGCTCAAGTGGTAGAGCGCCTGCATAGCAAGCTTGAAACCCTGAGTTCAGACCCCAGAATCGCTGTTGTCCCCACCAAAAAAAAAAAAAGCATAAACATGTTTACTATAACTTTACTTATAACAGTGAAAATTAAATGTCTACCTGTGTACAAATGGCTAAATATAGAAAAATGTGCAGTCATTAAAAATGTTACTTATGAGAATTTTAAGTAACATGGGAAAAGTATTCATGAATAATGTTAACCAATTTATATTAAAAATATTTATATTAAAATTAAGATCTCAACCTTGTAAAGATGCAGGAAAAAGGCTAGAAATTCACCCAAGTGGAAATGACGGTTCAATTTAAAAGGCAGAATTTTTTTAAAGTATTTTTCCTTTTATACTTCCGTGTACTTTCAAGTTTAAAGAACTCATGAACCTGTACTTGCTTTCGAAAGAACAAACATAAAGAAGAGGCGTTCAGACAGCCACCTGGAGAATGAGAGCGCGTCGCATGTGCTCAGGTAAATTGTCCAGCATCTCTGTGTAACAGCGCATCAAGCTCAGCAGCCAGAAGTTTCCGGCAGTGGAGTCCTCCTCTGCAGTGTAGGTAAATGGGTCCACCATGTAAATGACAACGGCTGGAGGGTAGGCTTGGCTGTCTGCAGAGTCGGGCTCCGTGGGAATCCCTATTCTCTCCCTTTCTGTAACACTGGAGAGAGAGTCACTTGTGAGGTGCACAAAAAAATTGTGAATGACACAAAACTAATCAATTCTGGAGTAGGCCAAGTCCCTGGACAGTGACTACAGATTAATCCTAACAGTATGTGTCATATAGCAAGTGAGGCAAATCAAGTCGCCAGCACTGAGGACAGAGGGGAATGGCAACGTGGACTTAGCACTCCAAATCCAAAAGTCTAACATCATACTCAAAAAGTTTCGGATTTCAGGTTTTTAGATGAGGGATGCTCAACCAGTAAAGCCTATGCAAATATTTCAGAATTCAAAACTCCCTAAAATCTGAAATCCCTCTGGTCCAAGCATTTCAGAAGAGGATGCTCGACCTGTACATTCCTCTAGAATGGAAGATCCTTTTTTCACCCTCTTTCTTTTCTGTGCTAGTACTACACAGACGGGTTAGATAATAAGCTAACAGAAGTTAGAAGTCTTGAATTTCTTACTGCAGCTATAGATATTGATGAGAGTTGATTTTACTGGAAAGAAGACAAGGTGAGCACTCTACTGCCTTTGGAGACTCTCACAGTCAAGGAGTAAGAGGGGTACAAACTGAAGTTCCTTGTCTGGATCAGAGAGTAACGCACCTGTCTTGTCCATCCTGTGAGGACTGGGTGGAGCTCTGCCCAGACTCAGGGTCTCCGCCACAGGTGATGTTCCCTTGTGTTCTATCCGTGGAACTGCCCCCAGTGCTGGGGTTCTGCCCTACCACACCAGCACTGAAACCTGAAGAGGAGGCAGTGCTTATCTGGTTAATCCCGGGAGCAGAGGCAGCCGATGAGCCGGATGGCGCAGAGGAGCCAGCCGAGGAGCTACTTGCTCCAGGGTTTGTAGAACCGCTGTGAGGGGTAGGATTAAATGCACTGCCAGCTGGGGGAGCTGCTGAGCCTGGAGTTGAAGGTAAAGGCCCAGCACCAGGCACTGCTTGTCCCTGTGCTGCTGGCGGGCTCTGGAACTTAGGTGGCGTCAGCAGGCTGCCGTCGAGCTGCAGAGTAGCTAAGTAAGGTGCTGCAAGAGTACAGGCAGAGAGGTGACTTAGTGACGCTCAGCAGCGCTACTATGAAAGCTGTACTGTCAGGACACGAGAGTCCGATCGTGACACCTGGCATGTTGTCACTACATTTCAACAGGCTCACAGATTTCACAGACCCTGAAGTGTGTATGAAGCAGCTCAGGACAAATTCTACAGAAGAGGCTTATTTTAACAGAAACAGAAGTCAATCACTGGTGATATTCCCCTTCACGCTGCTTCCACTAGAAACTGAGGAGCTGCATGCGCCCCAGTCATCGTGCTGTGCTGTGCTACGTGCGTGAGGGTTTACGAGCTTTGGAGGCGGTCTCCGGATATGGGTTAAGTTAAAGCACTGAGTACCAGGGCATGCTGCTAAATTTTCAACACGAGGTGTAAATAGACATGACCTCTGTAAGCAACTTTATATAGTTTTTAAAGAGTAACAAAAATTAAGATTTTACCTACCTAGAACACAAAAACAAGGTCTAAATACAATAATGGATCATTAACATTACTTGAGACAAAAGAAACGTAATGTTGCATACAAAGGGGGAAGGATGTGCTATTTTACTGTCAAATTCTACTTGGCCAAGCTGCATCCAGCTCACCTAGGTGATGGCGGCAAACTTGCGCATAAAGTTTGAGTCTGGAATGATTGTCACTCTCCTCACTGCTCCAGGGCTGGTTCAGCCACTCGCTCACAAGCTCGTCTGCCAGTCTCTGGGCCGCGGTCTTCCCCACGTGCATGATTCCGTCGCGTAGCACTTTGCAGATGGGCTTGTGCTGCCCAAGCCTACACATCTGCGACCACAAGCCACAGTTACTGAACAGCACAGCCATTCCATCACCACCACCTCCAGCCAGTAAGGGAGAGCCTTCACCACAAATACGCAAGCACTTCCGCTGTCTTTTAGGTTATCACAAGCACTCAAGCCAACATTACCAGCTGCACCTTTGGGGTAATTATAATGTGCCCTGAAACTGCTATCTGCCCCTCCAAAATCTGGACTAGGCCCTCTAAAGAAAAACGAGTGCTTCTCCTGTGCAACAGGAAAGTGCTAACAGAGGGTTAACCAGATTCCTGACTCAGACGTGTCCGCTGAAACCTCTTAAGCAATCCTTACCTGTAAGACAACATTAAAATTTTATGGGCCACCTGTTACACTGTTACAGGCATTTGGAGATCACCAATATCAGAGGACATGGAAGCAGTAGGCATGATGACCATTTTTCAGAGTAAATAGTAATAGCAATAGCAGATTCTGCTGCCAATCTCCAGAACACTTGATGGGTGCTCTGGCAGAGAAGCAACGTAACACACCTACTGCTTCACCAGCACGAGGGCCTGTATTACTATCTCTTCCAGCTGAAGGCTGACCAAGCCCTACAAAACTCTAACAGTGCACCCTTTATAAGCAAGTAAGAATTAGGGAAGTCAAAGAAAAACAATAGTGTTGAACCCTCAAAAAACATCTAGCAATCCTTCATGTTTTGTAACTTATACTGAAGACTTCATGCAAGAGAATGACTGGGTTTAAAAGTTGCTGAGAAGTTTGCCTGGAAAGGTTATGACTTAATAGTATTCTGTATCTAACTGACTATGCACTCTTCAGAAATGACTGCCTCCAAGGGTTTCTTTCAGTGGCTTGACAGAAACCATTATGTCACATGTTAGTATCTCCTCCAGCATTTGAAGCAACCCCTAAGTTTACTATTATTCTGCATTTACTCCTACATTTATAGATAGCAAATGTCCAGATACAGCTGAAATTCAGCTTATTCAAAGAACACTCCTGTAATGCTTAGAATGTGACTGCTACAGTTCTAATCACCTTGACAAAAATGAAGACATGAGCAGCACAAGTTCCTTAGTGAACAGGCACTACAGCACAACAAATATAGGAAACATGAGCTGATTTTTCAAAACTAACAGGAATTTATATGCCAAAAATACAACATTATCTACCTGGCTTTTAAATTATTATGTTATTTATGCATCAAAATCTTACTTAGTATTATGATGAATGTACTGTTAAAACACAACTGGACCATGATTCATTAAAATTATCTTTCAATTCAGAAATTGCCAAGGTAAACCTTTTTTTACAGTGCTCTCAGGAACCCTACCCCCAGAAATAAATACAAAAAGCAAATGCACTTGTTGTAAAGCTCATCTTCTACATGGATATGACCTTCCCTTGGTAAGCAACACTTCCAAACTCTGAGCTTGTAAGTGGGGAGAAACAGTGGGTGTGACTTTGGATGTGTGGTAAAAGTCTTCTCAATCTAATAAAACATAAAGCCACAAGGAAAAAGCAATCTACTTCCAGAAAAAACTTTCCAAGTTCACTCTCTTGTCTTCATCTATTTGCACATTTCCTTTGAACCCTACTTTTAAAGGACTTCTTCTTTAAATTCCAGTCCATAACCAGCAATAGTCAGAGAGCTCACCACAAAAAGAATGCTCACACAGTAACTCTCTTACCTCATATACAGCACTCAAGTCCCTGAAGAAAGTTTTGGCTCCTTCGAGCAAGGCCTCATTTTCTGGACACACCACAATATAGGCAACATCACGGTGGCCCCCATATGGGTCCAACAGTAGCCTCTCCCAAAAGGGCAAGGAGAATGGTGAGATGGTCAGGAAGTCCTTGTCATAGCCTACCAGCAGAGTGGGGATGGGCAACGGCTCAGGAGATTCTTCTGAACCTAAAACAATATTGCTGTTTAGGAAGGTGCTTGAGAGTCTGTTTCCCACAACCTGGAAATTATAGAAGTTCCAGGTGCACTGTTCTTAATTCTGGCATTGGATATATCCTTACCTACTGACATCATTTTCTTCAAAATATTTCGAGTCATCTAATTAAATGGTTCCTGATGAAGACCCTTAGTTAAATGAGTCAGAACTTGCTAATATAGATTCAATAAGATCAGAGGGCAGATTGAAGCCAGTAAAGTTGACTTTCCAAATAGGGCTGCTTCTCTGCATTTCAGATCAGCACTATGATCCTGACTACAGAGATACAAAGAGAAGTGGAGCATGCAGAAATCCAGGGGACAGTCATGCGTTGAGCACTATGAAGATGAAACCGACTCTAACAAGCACGCTTTTCAGGGATGATCTTCCTCAATGACTAAATACCCTCTGCGAAGGGTATTGAGAAAACAGGACTCCAGCAGTAACTTTAGGAAACAGAGAGCTTAAGGACCTGATGTAATAAAAGATTCCGCTCTGTCAGCAAAGCAAGGACTTGAAGTAACAAGGACTGACGTGAGAAGGAACTTAAATGGAGTTGGGACTCTACCATAGGTTCCACGTCCTGCCATCTTGTGGAACTGCTGCCAGGTTAGGGGCCCCTGCACATGCTGGATGTTCTCCCAGGTCCTGCCTGTGCGCTTCTTCTGGATGGCATCTTGGAGAAAGGGCTGCAGGGACAGCAGCATACGCACCACATCCTGGGAGGACAGCATGCTGATGTCCAGAACTGTAAGACACATGGAGAGAACAGACAGGGCAAAGGAGGTTAGAGGCTAGCACTCTCCTCTTCCAAGCCATTGTTTCGGATCTCAGTTGTAATCCATGACAGACATTATTAGCTGCAGTAGAGTCTAGGAGTCAAGCGAAAAGATCTTCTTCCAAATTAGAGAAGATAATTGATAATTTAGTAACAAAATAAATAAAAGGGGAAAACTGGATGGGTTTGATTTTTAAAAATCATAAAAACCTATCTCCAAGGCTTTTAATAAGAAAGCACTGCAAAAGTTCCTTAAGTTTCATGAGCAGATATCAATATTTTGATTATATAATGATTAGGGCAAAAAACAGAAGCTTTTAAAAAACTTAAAAAATACTCTTAACGCAAAACATTTTCACAGAATGGACAAGGAGAGAGAGAACCTTCAATGCAGCCTGAAGCACAATGAACTACGGCAGAGAAGAGGGTGAGGGGTTCAGTGTTTAAAGGTAGACACTCCTTCTGCCAACAGTCACCTGCAAAAAGGTTCTTAACCTAGAACTTAAAAATCCTGCAACTTCTATGCAAAATTGTGCATCATGCACATGTAAACAAATGTGTGCTTTCTCTTAAGATGGAGGGTCCATAATGCTCATTAGACTCTGAAAAAGGTCTGCAGGAACAAGCTAGCCAGGCCAAGGATGCACTGTAAATCTGCACAGCTGGCCTCCTGAAGACCTTTCCTCATTTCTACTCTCCTAGTGATTATGAAAAGGACCTGGTTAGCTATCTAGGATGTGTCTAGCAACTAAGTCTGCAACACAAGATTCTCAAGACATTTACAGAAGTGTTCCTAAATCAATACAATAGAGGTTGCAAACTGGTGGCCCACAGAGTTTTGCATGGATCTCCAGTTTCTCTTGCAAAACTGGGAGGGCTGGTCATCAGGGGCCAAGCCCCATGTTCCTGCATAAGCATGGCTTGCTGGACCTGACGGAGTTATTCCCAGAAGCACCTCTACTTCAGGCTGGGCCTCTTTTTCATCTACAATAAAGAAAAACAACCAAGTACTTCCTCTATCCATGCCATGCCTCTACCCAAAGTGGAAAATGACAGACCAAGAGAACCACAGAGTTCAGAAAAATAAAAGCAAGTGTATTTTTTCGTAAACTCTATTGTTGTGCATAGAAAACAAAGTGTGTCTTGAAAAGGGAATTTAAGGGTTGGGATGTAGCTCGGTGGTACAGTGCTTGCCTAGCATGCGTGAGGCCCTGGGTTTGATCCCAGCACCAAAAAAGAAAAAGACAAAAAAAAAAAAAGACAAGGGAATTTAAGTGCTTTCTGCAAATCTGTCTCCCATCTCATTTGTTTGCAGTAATATCTGCACATTTCCAGACTGGCCCTGCAGTAAGAAGTGTGATCCCTCACATGGAAGATGGTATCACAGACCTACCACAGATTGCGCCAAACCAAAGAAAAGAACCACCAAGCTAGTACCCAACATTTTTCTTTAGGGGAAAGGTCTTTACTTTATCAACTCATTCAATAGGCATTTATTAAGGACCTGCTATGCACTGTGTTTGAAGCTAAGCAGTTATAAGAATGAAGGTGACCTCTCTCCATTTTTGGTGGTAACTGTGAGTTGAACTCAGGCCTTGTGCTTGATAGGCAGGCACTCTACAACTTGAGCCAGCTGGAGGATAATCCTTCAATGCTTCCTTTGCTAAGAGTCTCTACCTCCAGGAATCCCTCCTTGCTTGGCCCACTCAGAAAGTGTGTGTGGCTCTCTACTCCACTGACATCTGTCCTCTGGACACTCTTACTATTCCATGTTTCAGTCTACATTTAAGATGTGGCTATGATCTTCTCCCTGGCATGACTGAGAGGTAGGACCCATGCTCATTCCTACCCCTCCTGCCTGGCCTCTGTTCCCTCTGCTCTACACAACAGCTTTCACTATACTCAGAAGACATGTTTAACTCTTGTATTAAACTCCTCAGCTTCACTTTCATGTTTGATCGACCACTTCCACTTTCTAGAACACTGGTTATCCCTTGCTTCCAAGACAAGCCCTTCTCTACCGCAACCTTCTCTGCCTACTTCATAGCCTTCCTCTTCTCTCCCTGTAAGCGTTCACCTCAGCCCTCAGCTTATTCTGTACTCTCTGCTCGCCAGTCAACTTCTCTATGCCCCACTGGACTTAATAACACACATGCCCGCCACTCCCACCTTTTGAGCTCCAAGCTCAAGATGAAGCTGTACTTGAACACTTCGAAAAGACATCCTTGGCATTTCTACACTTCTCAGGCTCCACTTAGGAATATCCTCCCCAGACCCAACCTTCCTTAAGGCTGACGATTTCTGAATGACCCAGTATCTATTTGAAGACATGAGTTACAAACTGGGATTGTCTTTAACATCGCCCTTTTTCTTATCCCCAAACCCAAACCATGCCCAAGTCCTGCAGTAATACTTCCTAAACACCTCCAAAATGCATCCACTACTTCGCCACCCGAAGTAAGCAATTATGTCTTATCTGGTCTCAGTCTGCCCAGACCCATTCCTGCCACTTTCTAATCTACATTTCAACCTATGGCCAAAGCACACGTTTCTTGTTTGAATGGCTTTTTTTTCTTTTTTTTTAATTACACAAATCTGGTGAAAACACCTTTTCTTAAAACCCTTCAATGATGTCTTATCACTCTCTGGATCAAGATCTGACTCACCATGGCTCAAAGGCTCTTTGTAATCCATCCCCAACTTCCTTCCCTTCCCTTTCTTTCTCTCTTCTCTCTCTGCCCTCTTCCCCCTCGGCACAAGCAGGGTTTGAACTCAGGGCTTTGCGCATGCTGAGCAAGCATACTACCACATGGGCCACACTCCCAGCCCCTGCTGGCCTCTGATCTTCCTTCAGTCCCTTGAGGGACCCAAGCTAAGTCTAACTCTGGGCCTTTACACTTGCCGCTCCTGCACAAGACCTGTTCTTCATCCTCTTCCTCAGTGAGAGGAGTGGCCATCATAGAGGTCCAGGAGCAACTGCTGCTGCCTCTTCAGGGAAGTCTCCTCTGGCCTCCAGCACAGGAAAGCCCCTCCAGCCCATGCTGCCATCCTTTATGTGATCTGTTTCAATGTGTTTACGTACAGAATTATTTGATTAATGTCCACATGTCTGCTTTCCCACATAAATTAGAAAAGCCATGAAGGCAGGTACTTTATCTTTCTTAGCCACCATTTTCTCTCTCTCAGGATGCGCCATAGTAGAGAGTGACTGATAAGGCAAGGGAAGAGCAGCTTCCTTGGAACCCTCAGGGCCCACCCTAAAATGTTCCGTCTGTGGAGCTTTCTCTCCCTATCCCCTAGTGCTGGGGACTGAATGTGACCTCAGGCCATGCAAAGCCCAGGGTCTACCACTGAGCCACACCTCAGCCCAACTGGAGAGTTAAGTCTAGAAGATCCTGTGCTCTAGGACAGCCCAAAAGAGAGTTAAATATGAACAGTCATAAATGATACAGCACACCAGGAAATGAGGGAGACAGCTTCAAGGAAGAGGTATCATGAGACCTGGCCTTCAAGAATGGATAGCTACAGGCACATAGCGTGTGAAAACTGCAAACTGTTTAGATACTACATGACTTTGACAGTCTGAAGTCACAGGTTGCCAACATGGGCTGTTTTTGTTTTTTTTTTCAGAAAACAATTATACTTCTCCAAAGGTGTTTCAATAGGAAATATTCCCCCAGTTCTTAGATTTTGGATGAAGTCAATAAAGCCCTCACCACTTCAGCAGCCTTTTGGTTCTGAAAGAAATGAGACTTAAAATTTCTGTACCTAAGTGAAGAATGCTTTGTAAGCTCGTGCTGCAGGGACACCTACCGTTGCTGTGAGGCCACGAATGAACAGTGGCACTTCTCACCAAGGCTTCGTCCACCTTTCCGCCTGTGGGGTTGTCCACATACTGCCGTCCCTGCTCCAGTGCATTGAAGCACTCTGTCCAGTAATCATTGTTATCCGCCTGCACCCGGTCATAGCTCCAGCTCACACAGGGAAGAGTGTGGCGACTGTTAGAGGAAATGTAGTCCAGGAACGTCAAAGAAGCAAAAGGTTGTGTATGCTGATTCTGGAGGAGAAGGAGAAGGCTTATGGGTGGCTCCGGGGACTTCCGGGCTCCCTCCGTCTGAGGAAGAAAGGTGGACTGACACATCATTAAGCGCCTCTCTGCAGCCTGACCAATGTCAGAATTCTTCCCAAAAATATCCAATTCATCTTCAAGGAAGAGTCCTGAATTATAGCCAAGTTTGCGGTTCATGATTGCGCTGAAGCCACAGGTACAGCGGTACTGGTCCTCATTGGAAGAGTCAGGGATGTAAAGCCCGACATCTGCTCCTTTGATGTTCATGTTACAGGCACAGATGCAACAGCTGTCAAAGTTTCTGTCCTTAAAGACATTCATCACAGAATCTGACAGAATCAGGGTGACATAGAGACTGTGGGCCTCAGGAATTGGCTGCATGGTGGCAGGTTCCACAGAATTAAGGGGCCGTGTGGTAGAGGGGGTAGAGGCTGGGGACCCCTGATCAGTGCTGTCGTATTTAACAGACCCTTGACCACTGGCAGTGCCCCCACCTCTGGGAGTTCTTGGGGTCCTAGGGGTTCGTGGTGTGGGGACAGAGAAGCGAGGGGTAGCTGGAGATGGGAGGACTCCTGCCCCACTGTTGCTGGCTGGGGCAGCGCTATTCAATGTCACCGGCGTGTTCATCTGTGGTGTGTTCAGATAGTCTGGATCTGCTAGGCTCCCGACACTAGGCACATTACTGCAACAAACAGAAGGCAGCACGTGAGGAAGAGCAGCCCAGCCATTACCGCACATCTCTTGTCATTTGGCATAAAAGGGACAAGGCAGTCAGTGCAGTGCAGAGAAGCGAGAAGCAAGGCCCAAAGAATCCTCATCTTAACCTTTGCAGGAAACGCACTATTTGTATAAGAAAACACGACACTGGGTTTGGTCAATTTGACTTTGAAAAGGCTGTAACTATTAAGTGGAACTCTAGCACATGAATTCAGCTGCTGAACAAGCTAAAGGACTATAGATTGGAATCTCCATCTAGTTTGAATTATGTTTTGTCAGTTTTTGGAACTGAACGTCTGCCTATGTATCTGCTCTCTGAGGCTATAATCCATATGTGATGCTGAAGTAGTCATCAAATGCACATGAAAATTTAGCATTTTTCTAATTTGGAAAATGCAACCCTCTTTAGGTTTGCATTTCTACAGTAATGAGTGACGTGAGGGACTTCTGTTTTGGGGGTCCATTTGCCAGTGCTATACACTACACTTAACAGAAATACTGCACATTCTGTCATGGATTTTAGTAGTAATTAGGGGTTCTGCAGAAGAATACATATTCTATCCTAGTTTCCAACTTCTAAAGGATTTCTGCAGAGTGGCAGGCACTTTTAGTTTATCTTTTGTTTTCCAATATGTTATGCATTACATATCATACAGTTATTTTCATTCCCCAAGATTGACTGGGCTGTTTTATTTTCTCATAAGCAGTGACAATTTTGGGGAATATCCAAACAGAAAACAAAACAGTGCCTACAGTGTTCTATTGTTTTATTATGGTACAACAGTTCCTTAAAATACTTTGATGTACCTGAAAAACAGCACATGAACACATTCTTTGCACATAGGTGTCAAAAGAATGTGGGGTGGTTTTTTTTAGTTTTACTAATTTATTTAATAATACATATATTTTATACATATGCACAAATATAAAATATATATTATATATATACATATATATTATATATATATACATATATATTATATATATACATATATATTATATATATATATATATACATATATATATAAATTCCTCCAACAAACTCCATATTCATTCACTTACACTGTCAAAGAAGAATGTCATAAAGAAATGCTTTGTCAAATAATTTTCTTCTGGTTTTTATTTTTATTTATTTGCAGCACTGGGGTTTGAATTCAGGGCCTCACACTTGCTAGGCAGGGCTCTACCACTTGAACCACCCCACCAGCCCCACCAGACCCACTCACATTAGGGAGGTACCACCTGAACTGTGACCCTAGTCCACTTCTTCCAGTTTTTAATGCCTAAAACTACTAGCCCCAACATTCAAATGAGGCACTTTAAATTTCAAACTTTTAAATCTGAGGCACTGTGGCATCGCTGAGTACAGATTAAAAAAATGACCCACAATTAAAGAAAAAAGACCCATAAAACTTGGTTGGCAATTACTACTCTCTCAAAGATCAAAATAACAAGCGTGTAATAATGACCTTCACTCTAACTGGATTCCTTTCAGTTGTCCTGTTCAACGAAACTCTAGAATTACTATGCAGTTCAGATCAGATAAAGCAGCACAGGGGATAGCAAGCCTGTGCTGAAAGTGGATATTCTACAGTAAAAAAGAGAACGAGAAGTTGCTCACAAACAAGGGCCACTGATGGGAAGCAAGTGGCCACAGTGCATAAATGTGACAAAGAGGAGTCCAATGTGCTGGAGGACCACACAGTCTAGAGCTGGGCTGTCCAATATGGTTACCACTAGCATGTGCTGGACTCAAATTAAGTAGAACTAAAAGTTCAGTGTTGGGTGTCACTACCACACAAGGCCGATGGCTGTCACATTGGACAGTAGAGATATCAAACACCTTCATCACCACAAATCATATTAACACTTTTGGACTAGAATACAAAGAATCTCTGGAATGGCAGATGACAAAAACAATAACCTAAGTCACTAAAACCACCATACAGCCAAAGGTACATTTGATTTTGAAGGTATTTGAGAGGTGAAGTTGCTGCCTCATTTCTTTGTGACTGAAAACGCTAACCTAGGTTGTCTAACCCATGGTGTCTGGGGTATTGCACCAGGACCCTACAAAGCTGGAGCATCATGCAGCCCCAAAGCACCCACACACCAGAAGCTTACGGCAGGGTGCTTCTGAGCACACGCTCTCAAAAATATTGCTGCCACACTATTATTGCCATGGTACCTCCACAACCATTAGTTGCTGGAGCTTTCAAAAGTTCGGGATAGGAGGCAGGGCAGGATTGCTTCATTTTAAAGAGAGAACAACTCAGGTAAAATGGTTACATAAGATCATACAGAAATTTTTTAGAAGGCAGGAATATATAGACTATGACATTGTAGTGTTGGCTTTTCATGTCTAAGGGTTCTTTCATTCAGTCTCTGTTATGGTTTCTCTATGGTATGACACTGACTTTACATACACAGCATTAAAGTTGATGATACCAATATGGCTTATTAGGAGGTCACAAACATGTAGCCTACCGAATGGGTCTAGACTACAAGTTTGTTTTATTGATTCCTAAAGTTTAACTTTGAATTAGCTGCCAATACTTTAAAGTAGTGAAAAGTATATGAAGTCCAGATTTTTTACCTCACTCAGTCCTGTCTGCCACTCTCTGGGCACACACTGGAACACAGCCCCCACAAGGAGGCTGAAGGGCAGGAGCACCAGCTTGCGCTCACCCTGCCCATCTCATCCACATATTGCTTACCTGACCATGATACGAATTTCAGTTTGTGGCTTTTTGTTTTACAGCATTTAAATGATCTTATTAAAAAACAACTTCAGGGAAAACTGATTCTACATTGGTGATGAAAGTACTATTTTTCTGGACAGTATGAAATACATCCAAGCTATCATAATCACTTCCTCTGAATCATATCGTCATTTTCTTGCTGCTTTCTTACACGGTATGGGGTGAGTAACTGAGAAATTATCTATATTAATACCTAATTTTAAAGTACCTCTAAGTAATACACTGAACTCATCACCTTATATAAACAAAGTTCTTATTACAGCCCAATTATGACCTGGTGCTTTGACACTAAATGAGCATGAGCACAACAGCATCTCTAGAAATAACCCTGGCTGTGTCAAAGTACATGAAATTCTGTTTAAAAATACATACATACTTTCAACATAAGATAATGTGCACAAAAGCATAAATGGCCAATAAAGCAAAGTGTTAAGTTACTGTCATTATTTTTAGCAAACACTCTGTTATTGTAAAAATGGCAAGTGACTGGTGCAAATGGCCTTGGTACATACTTGTAGCCATCTCTAATAAAAGTGGCTGCAGGGGGCATGGGCAGTTGTTCGATTTTGGGAGGAATTGCCCACGAAGGCCGGAAGAGACAGGCGTCAGGCATCTTCAGAGGCAGCAGGCAATGGCTCGGCAGCATCTTCAGTGGAGCAAACATGGAGGATCCCACAAAAGACTGGAAGGCTGGGACTTTGTGCACATATGAAAAGTCCTACAACAACAAAGCAGGCTTGGTTTAATGCTGACAAACTAGAACACTTCACAGCTGCTCAGTGCTTTATAAACTTAGCAACAAATCTATTGTCATTTAATACTCTTATTTAATCAGGAGAAAAACATTAATACTGAAATTTTTAATTAACCAAAAAACACAATAATTAACATGCCAACTGGTCTACTTCAAGATCCAATTCAAAGGACTGTCAGAAATCTCTGTGTGTATGGCACATATAATACATTTTTTTAAAGTCATATATAGAAAGCACCCTGCCCTGGGAAGTTAACACATGGACAGTTACCTTTATCTCCTCTGGCTTGGGACTTCCTAATCCATCTTCCACTTCCATTTTGAATTCTGTGAGGTGTGTGGAAACCATACTAACCATAGGACTCTCCATCATGCCTAATGCTGTCACTGTCTCCGAATTTATTCCATCCTTGTAGTTCATCACAGGCGAAAATGCAGGATGCTGTTCCAAAGATGGAGGGGTGGGGAACATCCTTTGCAAGTCTGCAACTGCTAAAAAAATTTTTTTTAAAATTATTTTAACAAGAAAACCTCTAAACAAAAAATCCTAGCTCCTAGCCTGGCACCCAGTGAGGTACCAAAAATAACGCTGGTTGAATGGTCTCATCAGTCACATAATAGAATATCAGTATCGGAGCAACAGAAGCATCTAAGAAGACCATATCAGTAGAAATTTAAACTCTTCTGGGATTCTCAGTGCTTTACAGATGGCTTCACATCAATTAAGTGAACAAGGTCAATGTAACATCTATTTTTCTACTAATAGTTGATTCCCTAAAAAGTCTAAGGAGATGAATTAAGTATAAACTAGAAGCAACTAGATGGAATAATCACATTATTAAAAATTCTATCCCTGTTTACAATTATGCATGAAACATTACAAAAAATAAAAATTGCGTGAAGCCAGGCTGGTGGATTTTATGTAGAAGGATGACTCTGTGCCACTATTCTGAAGAAACACTTCCACTCTCTCTTTCCAGACTGACATGAAAACAAAAATTCGCAGTTAGGATTAACAATCTTACCTAGAACCAAAAGACAACTTATTGGAAATGACCCAGGAAGGAAAAACACACTTTAAGAAATACTCAGGAACTGTGGATGTAGTTCAGTGGTAAAGTACTTGCCTAGCATTGTGCAAAACCCTGGTTCCATCCTCAGTAAAGAAAGAACAAAAAGAAAACAGGAGAAAAGAAAAGAAAAACTTAGAATAGCAATTCTCAATTTAAAAAAAATCATTTTAATATATCTGAAGTAATCTGATTCTTAAAAGTAGGATATAACTAATAAAATGCAAGTTTGTGCTTATAAAACTTGGCCACTAGAGGGTGTCTTGTGTGGCAAATTTATTAAGTTTGTAGCCAAAAGTTTAAATCAGCAACTTGGAATCCTATTTGATGTCCTCATTTACTATCCTATTATCTTTCTGGCAACTTCAACATTTAAACAGGCAAACAGTAGCCACTGAATAGACTAAGACCTGACTTCTGGCTTCAGTCAGAAATCAATATAGAACCACTGGTCCATACTCTGCTGTGGCCTACAGCCTAAAGCAGAGCTGTATGAAGAGGGTACAGGGGCAGGGAGCCACAAGCCAGGAGCTTCTGGCATAAGTCTGCTAAAGTCAGGTCACTTCCTCCCTCTATAGGCCTTAGTTCCTTCTTTCAGCAGGGAAGGCTTGACTAGATGATTAATTCTTAAAAGGCTGGCTTGCTTCCCCTTGGGGCAGGGGAGCTTCCAATACCCCCACCATATGGAGGCAGAAAAAAGGTTAGAACCTCGGGATTAGATGTTTAAGGTGTTTCCTAGCAAAACAATTGTATAACCCCAAATCACTGCCCATCTCTTGGCCTCAAGAAGGCAAGAGGAAGGCCCATAGGCAAGATCTTAGATCTCAATTTCTACTTCCACTGGAGAAGCTTTGCCTATAGTGGATTCTGCATTACTCAGTGACTTCATCAAAAATGGTGCTTGCTGCTGCAAAGAAAAAGAACTATGAGCTCTTCAAGGCACCTTCTTGCTATGAAAATATTCCACCCAGAAGAAACTGAACAATTCCTAGAACTAGGGATACAAGCCAAGCCAAAAAAGAAACCACCAGAGAACTGTTTGAGACACTCTTATATAACTGAAAAAATTCTGAAGTGGAAACAAGGTGTTCAGATGTAGCAGCAACTAAATCAGTAAGCTCTCTTTAAAGCAAAAGGGAGACTTTAAGATAGAGTTTACCTTTAACCTTGTCCCCAAGAGCAGCGACTACAAAATTTTAGTGTGAAGTTATTTAAGTGTAAATTTAATTTTTTAAATTGGTTTTATCTTTTGTCAGTACTAGAGTTTGAACTCAGAACCTTGTGCTAGGCAGGTGCTGTACCACTTGAGCCACTCCACCAGTCAGTCCTTAAGTGTAATATTTTAAATTACTACTCTGCTTCATAAAATCTTCGAGTTCACACTGTCCTTATCATCAGTGTCATCTTAGTCATCAGTGCACATTCATGAGAAACACAGAGATTGTATAAATACTCTTCCAGTCCAAAGGATGAGCTGAAACACAGCCTTTTCTTTCTAAGTGTTCTGACTATAGCAAAAGATTTTTACCAAAGACTGGTTTTATTAAATCACCTTTTAAGTTTCCTCTAAGAAATGTGATGAAAGTTTTGTACCTAGGCACCTGACGTGACTGATGCCACCTACCACAGTCAAACCATCATATTTTCAAAACCTTGGGAACTCTGCTAATTTTTGTTGAAGGTAAAACAGAGTAGGAAAAGGAAAAAAAGCATAGATAAAATTTACCTGCCACAGATTCACTTTATGAAGTGGTCTTCTCTGTTCTTATTACGGAAGCATGGTAATAAAATCTACCTCACAGTTTTTGTGCATGGTAAATGAGATAACATACGCACAGAAGTGGATGCTTTGCCAGGTCCATCTAAACGTGCAATAGGTATGAAGTCGAAACAATTTGAGTCTTCCCTCCCAATTAGGGTTTGATTGAAAAAGGTGATGCTGCCACTCAGTTACAGGGAATTTCTGAGAGGAGCTGACTCTGAAAGTTCTGAAACAATCAGAGGGAACTGGCCCCAGTGCAGGTAAGGCAGGAAGTAGAGACAGAGAATCAAGCTTGGGTCCTCCACAACAGGGAAAAATGATGTGCCAGTTCAATTTTCTTCCTAGAAAAAAGGCTAAAGTGAGGGTGGACCACTGACCAGCATAGACTGCAAAGGAGCTGTCTTGTCCCTAGTGCTCCACGGCCTTGTACCCTGCCAGTCCTTCCAGCTCTACTGCACTTCAGTTGGAATTCAGCAAGGACACCAACCACCTCATCTTTACAGCAAGAAGCCCGCTAACAAAGGCTGCATCACGGACTTTTCAGTAAACTCCCAACCCACAGCACAGAGCATGGTCCTGTGCAAACAGGTAAGTGCTCTTAGGGAATGAATACAACAACACTTCAATTCTTTCATTTTGCCTCCTCCAACACTAATCCTTCAAATGGGTATCTTTTATAGGCAAAAATTCACACGCAACTGGCTACTAAGAGCTAAAAAGAACGCCTATTTGTATTAGTTTGCTGCCTCCCTCACTATTGCATGCACAATCGGGGGTTATGGACCCAGGCTGTCAAGTGGTATGTGGTGGCACGCGTGGCCACAGGATGTTCAAACGCTACTTGCCCACATCCACATGAGCTGCATGTGCAAAATACACAGACTCAAAGAGCACCCAAAAGTAAAAGACCCTGGACTTTTCACAGCTTCTATGTACAAATTATGATATTTGGGTTCAATAAAAATTACTGAAAATTAATTTCATGTGACTTTTTTACTTTGTAATATGTGGCTCTGACTTGTGGCCTGTGCTGCTCTAGACATTAAATTTCCTAATACATGTGTCTTCCTCCCTCGATGTCCAATAAAGCTACTTCTTGCCATCTACTCTATTCTCACTTCTGGGAAGAAGTGCTGTGCATGTCTGCACACCGCCCCCCGCCCCTCCCGTCCCGCACTCCCAACAAACACAAATCCACATGCGTCTTCCTGCTGTAATCTTTCTATGCCGTATTTCAAGTGAGTTAGCTTTACAACCTGTACTTCATCAGCAGATTATAGTAGGTTCTTTCTGAAATTATTCTGTTTTGAATAAAAAGCTAAGGGCAGCACACAGCCTACTGCTTTGCACAATGACACAAGCCAGCAGGATGTCTTTGAGTGAAAAACCTCAGACAAGTTATCAGACACCAAACCATCTCCTATCACTTATTGTACTTCATGTCAGGAAGGGCAAAGGATTAACTGGTGAGACACATGGAAAAAATTCACTCATCTGTCCTGCCCAACACATTTCTTTTAATCGGTGAAGTTCCATGTTTATCAAATTCTGCAGTGCAGAAAAAAAGAAAAATGTTTAATTAAAAAAACTATAGCAACTGGCTGGCTATCATTATTCATTTTCATCCATGTCATGCTTGAGAAAGCTTTGCATATTTTTAAAAGCTATGGATCCACTAAAGCTGTCAAAACCCAATCTCTGTGCACGTCCCACTTCTACATTTGAGTAAATCAGCACTACATTTATAGGTTCATAAAACTTTTTGACTCATCCCTACGACATGGTGGTTTTTCCCCTCAATTTGTTCTCATTATCAGCTGAAGTTAATGAGAAGGTATTAAAGAATGATTTGTAATGGAGTTATATCTCCACTTCAGAGCATCCACATAAGCTACTCTGATTTCATTTCTCTTATAGAACAGTGTAAATTTTTAGGGTAAAGAAACACTAGAAGGAGGCTGCTCTTCTTGTCAGTATGTACACAAATCCAGTTGATCTCAAAAGGAAACATAAAACTTCAGTATGAATCTTGAAAAGGACCACAAAAGGCAAATGAGTGCACACTGTACTTGAGTGGGTTAAGTTTATGATAACTGAAGCATTTGATACAATGTCTACAGTGGCTGCCACGGTGAAAGTCAAGTGCTCAGCATTTATCTCACTAGAAAAGGATCATCAGAAGACAAAACTTGTTTTCCTACATTTTAAACTGCAATTGTTAGTTCTTAAGTGTGAAAACAAGAGAACAGAAATTCACACTCACATGGTGTCTGTACATGTGATTAGCTGGCTGCCATCTTAGAAAAACCAACTTTCCAACTTTTAATTCAGTTAGAATTACATCAAAAGAAAAAAGAAAGGAGAGGCACTTCAGATAAAGCAGTGCTGAGTATAAGAGCATGATGTAAGAGCACAGGCAATATCCAAAGCTCAGCACAACTCATCACGTACTTGGTGGGTAAGGAACGGCCGCTCTTCCATCCTTCCCAAGAGGTCGTTCTTCAGTCCCAACTGCAGGCATTTTCGATGAGCGCAGTGCAGGGGATACAGCCTAAGAACAGAATATTACTATTAAGACAATCACACACCAGTGAAAGAAAGATGCTTCCTTTCATAGCATTCACCAGATGAATGTCAAAAAAAAAATCCCAACAGATAGTGAAACAAGGGAGATGGCTACCAGCTCATCAAGAAAGAGAAACTGAGAGATGCTTTTTTCAGGATCTTGTGAGGGCAGATGGTGTCATCAAAACAAAGCTCATAGACCTTCAGCAATTCCTCCCTTCCATAGACACAATGACTACGTGAGGGTGATGCTTCCAGCAGTAACTGGCAATTATCCTGGTGTTTCTTGCTTGAAAAGCAGGAAGTTAACACAGACCTCAAGACCTCCAAAGTTATTATTTTTAATTATTACCACAAAAAACTATATGCCTCTATACCTATTATACCAGTTACTGCTTATTTTCACAAAATTGCCTTATGTCATAAAAATATTTAAATATACAGACACTCTGATCTATTATCCAAAACTAATAGATTGCCTTACTAGGCAAGATTATCTTTAAGAACTCAAATGAACTGGTAACAAAATAAAAATAAAATCCATATCATAAAATAAAGCAAAAAAATCTTATAGAATGCCTTTATGATATTATACAGTTAAAATGTAAAATTAAATTCAAAGATGTGAGATAAATTCAAAGATGTGAGATAAAAACTTGACAACAACCTCCCTATTCCACAACAGTGAGAGGCATTAGCCATAAATTTTAGAGCAAACTATTCACATGGTTAAATGCCATACTAGAAAACGCAGTCAAAATGCCACTCTCCTTTGCATATTAACACTACTGAAATATATATTCCTACAACTTAAAAATTTCTTCAGAATGTTAAAGAGGAATGATAATTTATAGAGAGTAAATTCAATGACCCAGAGCAGGAAGAACAATCACTGGCGATGCCAGCCTCTAACAATACTGGGCAGTTCATTCTGTTTTGCTTTTTTTCTTTTCTTCTTTCTCACGTTCTACCTCTTTGGTTTGTGATTCCTTTTCTTTTCATACTTTGTTTATACCCTCACCACCAAAGAACCTAACCTGGCTCTTAAGACACTGCAGCACTGTTTAAATTAAGGCTTGAAGGTTAAGTAGGTATCACATTTCCAAAGCCCATTCTAACTCAAAATAAAATGGAGCTAATTAACAGATATAACACAGCATTAGTGTTGCAAGTACTTAGAAGATGATGAGATCATAGTGGCCTTGAAGAATGAGTTTGACGTGAAACGTGGAGGGACTGGGGTCACTGAGAGGCATTGGGGAGGTTGGGGACATTAGTTTGAGTTTGGAATGAGTTCTGATTAAACACGAACACAGCAGATAGGTGTGAGGGGATAATGAGCAGCCTGCTGGTCCAAGTTCCTCATGGTGCTGAAGCGCACTCAGCGCCCTTAGATTCTGGTCTGTACCTGCGCTCACAACAGTAAGTAGACTAACTTGATGTACATGCTGCTTCTCCTTAAGTCTCTGAGTGTCCCAAGTACAATCATAGTTGTGACTCTGGTGATTGGCCTCAGTGACCTGCCATAAGGAACTGATCACATGATTTAAAAATGGATAGGTAGAGAGGCAGATTAAATGAACAAGTTAAAAAATAAACAGCCTAATTTACTCATCTCTAGGCCCCCCAGAAATAACAGGTACCAATGAGTCCACAGGTTAGAAGATTAGGAGGATAAGGACACAGACTTCCTGTGTCTTAAGGCAAGTGATCGCCACACAATTGTAATTCTTTTCTGGCAGTATAATCACATGATGCTTTTACTAAATCATCTAACTTTTATGTGTATAAAATCTACTTTCCTATAATTCTATGACCCTAAGAAGTACAGAGTACACATATGCATCTATCTATCTATCTATGTATAAATCTCATAATGTAGACTGACTTCTGATTTATTGTATGAATGGAGTTCTGTGAGAATTATTTTAAAATGTGATTTAAAGAAGCATACCCATTACATCTTCATTAGTTCCATGATACTTAGAAGGATTTATTAAAATAAATGTGAAGATTTTAATATTTATAACTGGAATAGTAGTAGTGGTAAAAAAAGGTGTCAGCAAACAAAACTGAAAAGGTAGTAGATATTACAGTAGTAACCTTTTGAATTTTTGAATTCTTTCAAAGTCTAGAAACATTTTTGAAGAATAGCCAGAACCTAAAATAATCCTCAAATGCAGCTTTAAGGAAATACTAAAACACTGCCATAAGGATGTAGAGTTTTTTGCATGTGGGAACTGTAACAGACTTACCCCAAGTTCATCGTCATCAGAATTATCAAAGATGTTGTCTAAGTCATGCAGGGAAGGTGCCAAATCTGTCACCTGTGTAAGGCTACTGGAGCCAGCTCTGCCAGCAGCATTATCCTGCCGGACATCTGTAGGAAAGGCGGCAAAAGGAAAAGAATAAGCAGCTGCATCCAACAAGAAGAAGTGAGGAGAGACATGGATCTCAATGGACAAGATCTGCCAGTAAATGTTTTTTCCGTATGGCTTTAATTAAATTTAGAGGTAATTATTTCCAAATATGTTTATCAGTTTTGAAAGGAACTGAAAAACAAACTATAAAAAAATATTAAAGGTGAGATCAAATTACTGTTAGAACCATAAGAGTATAATTGTAAATCGAGACACATCTCCCTCGCATTTTATTTTAGCAACAATCCAAGTGAGGCAAATAATCATTGTACACACCTGTTTTAGTAGCAGAACTGAAAATAGACATGGCATTTTTCCCATCAGGCACCGGCGTGGAATGACCTGGTGTAGTGACATCCTTGGTACCAAATCCATCCTCTGACTGTATAATAAATTCAGCCAAACAAAACATATGAACACCAACCCAAAGTGTGGAATATGAGGGAGAACACAAAGAATTAGAGGGTTGAATGGAACTTGTTATGAGCACAAATATGATAAACATGGTCTATGCAACCAGAGAAAATAAAAGATATTTCCTTGCTGTGAAATTTAAACAGAACCAAAAACTCCCCCACTTTTCTGTCAGTCCTCTGAGGCATTCTTAGTGAATTAGTGCACACTCCTAAGCAGTACTGGTGGCATTTGATTAGCGACTTGCCATGGTGTTAAAAGCTGCCTTTAGTAACAGTTTAGATGATGAATTCTAGATCAAGCCTTCTGGATCTACACAGAGCTCTGTAAAGAATCTATAAAGCACCCCCTTCAACTGGCCTCTTTTTGTTGCCATACTTCTTTTACTCTCAAAAATACAGCTTTAAATGGGCCAGTATTGTAGAGTGTCATAAAATTTAAGGTGAAAGACAGCACACACACCCAGTACTCACTTTTATGACAACAGAACTATAAAATTAATGATAAAAGTCTGTAGATATTATTGATGTTAATTCAGAAAACATATAGGTAGGTACAGTGCTCAGCACAGCTAGGCATGAGCCCTCACACACAGTAGATACTGTCCTCAGCTGTTTTTTCTTTAAGTTTTGGGGACTGTAGAATACTGTTTCAAAAAACTAAGGAGGGAGCATAGGCCACCACGAATTAGCATATGAGAGGAAACATGCATTGTACAAGCTACAGCCTGGCAAATATGCAGTTTCGTTTGCGTTCGGCTGACTTCTAAGCGAAGGTGAGCCATGACATAAAAAGGAACATTATGCTGTCTGATACAGTAGTGCCAAGAGCATGAATATGGGAACAGAGCAATCAGGCAAGACCACCTACAACATTCTGCCTCCAAAGTCTTCCCACACACCTGGCAATGACAGAGATAGAAGCCCACACCATGCTGGACTCACTCTGTGCTAAATGATACCTTATTCTTTTTCAGGGAGTCCTTCTCTGCCCCTTGTTTGCATTTCTTATTTGCTGTGAAGATGTATTTGATGTCACCGTCCTCAAAGGTGTAAGGGTCATTGGCTTCTCCCAGACTGTCTCCAGGTTGCTGTGACAGAGGCAGTGGGTCAAGGAAATGGAGCGGCTGCATCTGGGGCTGCTTGTGTTGCCAGATCTTAAACCGTTTGTTAGGTTGTGCTAAGAGTCTAAAGGGGAAAACAAATAGTAATTTAAATAAAATAAACAATTTAGAGTGATTTTTTAAAAGACAAGCATATAATAAGTTTAAAACTAAACTTATTAAAAAAAATTGTAGTTTTCTTTTCAAGACTATACTCATGATTAAATGAAACTTAGTAGGCTTTGTCAAGAATATATGGTTTTGGCTATGATTCCATGGATACACTCAGGACAGACAGCCTAGGTTGAAATTCCCTGTGTCATTTACTAACTACCTAACCTTAGTTCCTCAGTCATGAAGTTAGTATAGTACTATGTCCATTGTGAAGATCAGAAGGGACAATCTGTACAAAGTGCTTAGAATAGCAGAGGCTCAAAAGCACTCGACATTTCCTCACTAAACGTGATACACACCTGCATGCATGCAAAGCCTTCCTCCTAGGTGTCAACATACAAAGACAGCAATATGGGAAGTCTGTAAGCTCTATTTTGGATTGCCAAACAGTAGGTGAAAGATAAATCAATACATATCTTGTATTGTGTTCCAAAATGCTGAATGACACTTTTACATATCAGCACGTCTAAACACTGACTAAAGTGCAGGATAAAGGATTTGACTTTTAATATTTACCATTCGCAGAGTCTAGAACAGTGAAAGAAAAGCCTATTTTCACTTTGGCCCTAAAGGGTTAGCAAAGAGAGAGGAGGAGGAGAGTCCAGATTTTCCCCCGCCCTCACAGTGTGCAGCAGACAGGAGTGCGGGCAGCCGCCTCACCTCTGCAGTGCCGTGCTCTCTGAGTTCACCTCCGTTCTGGCATCACTTCTCTCACCCTGGAGCTCTGGAGGCCTGAACTCAGCATCATCACTGGGCGGGAGACGAAAACTATGCCACCACTTTTCTGATGACTCCAGGTTTGAGGGCCTAATTCCGCTGTATAAGGCTGTCTCACTGACCTCTGCCATCAGAGGCAGTCTTTGGCCTACGAGGACAGTTCTGTCATCTAGAGTGGACAACTGCTGAAGTTCTAGCCCATTTCCATAGAGGGAAGGATTCACAGGGACAGAAGGGGGGTCCAAACTCTCTGTTTCCTGACCTCGTGGCTGAGGGCTGAGTGTTGGTGGCAGAGGGGAAATGGGGGAATGAGGTGAATCCATAGGATTCAGATTCATTTGCTTGCTTGTATTTCTGGAAGGCACGGCCATTTGCTTATCATACTTTCGACTGCTAGACACCTCTAAGGAGGAGTCTATTCCTGCCAACCCCAGCTTCTGTCCTGGTGTGTCTTGTTCCATGCATAACTCTTCAGCCACAGAGGGCCTATGGTGAAATGGTATCAAGGGTCTCTTTTGCAACTTGTCTCCTTTTTCTTGTCTTTCTGTGGTTTTGTGCTTAGAAGAAGCAGGAGGCGGTAAAGATGAAGATGATGATGGTCCTACAGTGAACCCTGGCTGAGATATTGTGGGAGGTCGACTGGGTCCTACTGCACGTTTTAAAAATTTATGCCTAAAACAAAGAGTTAAAGTGAAGTCAACAAATGCACAGATACAAATGACTACATTATAAAATCACAAATGAAGTACCTCTGACAAAGCTGTATCTCTTTAAGTACACACTGAATGACTAACACATCTGAAAGGGCTTTCCGTTATAATGACTGAAAATACAATACAGCCAGGTAGTAACTGAAGAATCAGTCACATACGAGTTAAGCAGATAAAAAACAGACTTAATAAGAAACTTGAGTTAATATACTGCTAATCCTTACAATATTACTGATTTGAAAGAACCCCAAATCTTCCTAATCTGGGGAGGGCCTCAGATAACCTACTGATTTAAAACCCTAAGAGCACAAGATCTTCTGTGCAGAAAATAAAAAATTTTCAACTTCCACTTTACAACACCCTACCAATTCTAATATAGGATGGTCACAGTGGCTTGTAGTGTTAGAATAAAATTACTACGCAACTGTCCCCCAAAGTGTGAAACTAAGGTCAATCCTAAGAACACTTAACAGTATAAATGTACTAAAAGCCTTCCCTGTTACTGTATGGGGAAAGAGGGTATAGGACAACTGTGGACCTTACAGACACACATTACAATGAAACACAGAAGTGAGAGGTTGTAAAGCAGCACACATACACAAGTGCACAAGAACAATCTCATCTACCAAGAAGACCATGTCTGCTCACATCCTCACACACTTCTTGGCAAGCACAGGTGGCATGAAAAATGACTCAGGAAGGGCCACTAGATGATGCCAAGGTTGAATCTGTGCAACAAAGTTATATAGCAGGCCAGCCAGTTCTTCCCAATATATAAATCACTGCCAGGAAAGAACCGCAAGCTCTCCTGCGTGTAGCGCTAGCTCTCTGAGGCCACCAGGGTGGCATTAAATTACTGCTGTATTGCACTAAATGATGCCCCACTGGGCAGTAAAACAGATTTGTGTGGCACAATGGGATGGGTTTAGTGGGACAGCAGGATGGTCACCCTGCTCCTTAAGGCCATTAAATATTGTGAGGAGTGGACCATTCCATAATGGGTTTGGTAATCCTACAGGAGATATTTGAAAACACCTCTTGCCAAAGTCTTTGCTACTCTTTATAAAAAAAAAACTAATCAATAAGTAAAAATTCCTGACCATGAAGGGGGTGGTCTAAGCATAAGACTATCAATAGTACAGCCAGAAGTGTGCATTAGGCAACAAGGACACCATACCACAGTAAAGATGAGCATCTCATCAGAAAGTACCTCAATTACATCTTCTAAGTATGTGCATTGTTAAACGTAGCCACAACATCTTTCACGTAAAAACTTTCTGACTTGGATCTTCTCTGAAATTTCATCATATTGGTCTTTCCATAGTCTTTATGGCAGACTCTTCAAAGTAAGGAGTTTTGTTAAGGTGGGTTCTTTCAACTCTATCAAGTAACTCAGTTCCATTGGAGAATGGTTACAATCAGGAATGTGCCTACAGGTAAATCCTGGCAATCCCTGAGCAGGAAAGGAACATGATGGGAGCATAGAGCAGGAAGATCGAACAGGCTTGGAGGCCCACTGGTCACCAGGTACAGGGGAAATCAGAGGGAGGGCCAGAGGTGCAAGAGTACATAGTGGCTATAAAAATGAGGAAAGAACTAGAGCAGCTATTTCAACGGAAGTCAATGTGGTGAAGAAATAGAGCAGTAACTCCAGAGCACAAAAGGAAAAGTGTTAGGTATCTATTTACACAGAAAGTGTTTCCAGAATATTCAAGGTAGCTAATAAAAATGTGATATAAATCAGTAAAAAGGTTACTTTTTAAGTTAAAAAAATTAGATTACGGAAAAATAAGATAAATGCACAAGTTAAACACACTACAATTTACAGACTACCACTTGCAAAAGGTGGACCATAACTTGACTGTGAGCTGTTCATAAATCAGAATTAACAGAAAAACATTTTTTCCTCATACAATTCCCAGCAGATAGAATGGCTCTAGTGGTAGAGCACCTGCCTAGCAAATGTGATGCCCTGAGTTCAAACCCAAATTAAAAAAAAAAAAAAATTAGAAAGAAATTGAAGGCACTGGTGGCTCACACCTGTAATCCTAGCTATTCATAAGGCAGAGATCAGGAGGATCACGGTTTGAAGCCAGCCCTGGGCAGATAGTTCCTCGAGACCCTACACAACAAAGGCTGATGGAGTGGCTCCAGGTGTAGGCCCTGAGTTCAAATCCCAGTACTGGGGCAAAAAAAACTTCCCAATAGCCTAGAGATAAAAGTAAAAGAGGTATTCAGCTGCAGCATACCACACCTATCCTGAGACCAGAGGGAGATCCTCACATGCACGGAGGACTCTTAATGCACACACAACTCCTTCAAAAGCTCCCTAAGAAATAAACCATGACTTCATTAGGCTGACAGAACATCTCTCAGTAAGCTGCCCAGCAAGGCAGAGCTTGGCTCAGGGCAGGAGAGACTAGGAAGAGGCTGACAGAACAGTTTCCACTAGGACACACACAAAAGGATTGCATTCCATACTCAGAAGTCAAGTCACTGATGTCACTTTAAGAACCCCTGAACTGAAGATAAGATTTCTTTCTACTTTTAAGTGATACTGTGATATTCCAGGCAGGAAGGCAGACCTGGTAATGCTTTTAGTCTCACCTTGGTCTACTTTGAACAGGTCAAGATAATGTTTGCCGTAAGATGTAACCAACTGGGTTAACCTTGTGGTGTCAAGTATTTAGCTATTAAAGCCAGATTCCTTAAGACCAGATCTTTTGTTGCTGAAATGTTGTGAGACATGCTGATGCTTAAGAAGAAATGCTGTTAAAGCAAGATTTGCGCTTCATCTTGCAGGGCACACTTCGTAGACTTTCCATGCCCTGTGTGCACTAGTCCCAGGAAAATGGGAATGTGAAACTGAAACAACTCAGTGGCAGGAATTCTCCACAGGGACTGTTTTCCAAAGGAAAGTGCTGTGTAGAGAAACAAAACTCCCTAGACATGCTGTAAACCCTCACTCAACAAGGCCTGTGTATGGAAATGTGCCCAAGTCACATTCTGCTTCAAGAGGTAACAAATACAGATGAGTCAGAAAAGGGGGAGAGGGGGAGAATCCCTGAACTAAACTGAGGACTGCACACCTGTCTTGTAAATGCTCTGATGCCAGCTGAACTTTCTGTAAGTGTTGAGCATGTCAGATTTGAAAGCATGGACTTTAAAAGCAGAGTGACTCAGAATTGCCTAAGTGAAAAATCATCAGGGTGTGCTCTAATAGTCAATTGAGCTGGGGATAAAAATTGCATCCAGTTAAAACAAATTAAGAACCCTGAAGAAAGGTTCATGGAAAAGGTTCCATGATTAGGAAGATTCTTTAAGACCACAATGAACAGAAATACCCATGAAGAACGCAAAAATTTTCTACAGAAAACAATTTGGGGCTCCATCCAGACACATAAATGAATGAGCATTTAAGAGTTACAATACCATATCTACATCAACTGTAGCTTTTAGCAGGTGTTACCAAATACCCACCTCAGTCACTAACAACAAGCATATACAGAAAGTCTGTTTAACTAAGTTTCTAGTAACTCCAGCCAACTACTTTCAACTTGTATCTCTACTTGAAAATTAAGACAAGTTAAACCGAGTCATTGAAATAGCTAGGTACTGTCTTAACAAACTGACACCTTTACTTTTGAAGTAGCTAAATTTGTGGAAGCAATCTGATAGCAGGGCCAGTTGCCCAATAAGCTTTTTCTGAGTACTGACAGTAAAATCATATCACCTGCATATAAGAAAAATCTGACCACTTCTTTCTCTACTGGAGAAGAAAGAAGATCTAAAACAAAGCAAAAACACAGGGAAGCCCAGTGTCAGTGGCTTATATCTGTAATCCTAGCTACTTGAGAGGCTGAGATTGAAAGGATCTGGGTTCCCAGCCAGCTTGGTCAAAAAGTGAGTCCCTATCTCCAAAATAACCAGAGCCACTGTTGGAGTGGCTCAAGTGGTAGAGTGCCTGCCTAACAAGTGCGAGGTCCTGAGTTCAAACCCCACTATTTTCATCACCCTCACACACACACACACACACACACACACACACACACACACACACGGAAGAAGTAGTCTGTGAGGCCAGAGAAGAGTCCAAAGTGTGTCATCATTCTGACTACTGTGTTGATCGTTTTACTACCCACCTGGAACAAGAACAGCTGACTCTTTGGGTTGGATCCACAAAATCCCAAGTAGGAGGATTGTTAGCAGGCTCTTCTTCAAGTGTTGGAGTTGACATTTGGCTCCTCCTAAAAAGGTTAAAAATGTGACTTATGTGCAAACATAAGCTACTACTCATTCCTCTAGGAAGAGGAGTGTTAAAAAGACTTAAGTACATTTTATACAATAGTGATATCCTGGTTCAGAGCATCCAAGGTCGGGGGGAACCTATTTGCTCTATGCACTAGAAACAGGGTTCAAAGTATGCCTTTTGAAGTTTAATGTACATTTTAACATGGATAGTACAAACACCAATTAAACAGTATCAGGCAATATTAGTTGTTGCTTTTTTTTTTAAAACATCACCTATGCCTTGCATGTACAAATAACCTGTTTTAAATTACCTTTTCACAGCATTGGTGGCATGTTAAACCACTCTTAAAACTTGTGTAGTACTGCTCAGCACAGAAGGGCAGTGCTTTACAGCTTTCAACGCTGAACTGACATGTGGAAATCAAAATTACCTCCCACGTGTCACTATGGTTGGCAGCAGAAGCAGGCAGATCTATATTATAACACAATGATGATAAGAATACGAGGAATATTTCTGGATTGCTGATTTTACTACAGCTGTTAAGGGTGAAGAGTCTCAAGGGGGGCTGTATGGGGAGCTCCTTCATTCCCCACCCTCCCTCTACCTTCCTGGTGTCTCACCTCCCAGTTCTGTGCTGCTAAGGGGGCATGGCTGCTGATGATTAAAAACAAAGATTGCAAATGAAAGCATAAAGAAATGTTAACTTAGAAGTTACCTAGGCACTGCACTCAGCAGTAAATATCTATACCAGTTATTCTACAGAAAATGATTATTTCTAAGTGATTGGAGATAGTTTTTAATTCTAGAATGTGATATGATTTTCCCATGCAATTATTTTAGATTTTATCTACTACATCCTCAGCAACCTATTCTAGAATTAATCCAGCAGGCACTAAATATTTAGTGTGAATTTGCTAAAAGCCAGTCCAAAGGACAGGTTTTAAATCTACATATAAAACTTTGAATAGTCTTTTAAGAAACATTGAATTAACTTCTAAATAAGAAGAGTTATTAGCAGTTATTGACAAGAATGTCCACATTCATTCTGTCATTCTGTTCCAGAGAATCAAAACTCACTTGTCTATTTGTACCAAAAAGAAAGTGGACATCTCACCCTTATTCAAACAGATATGAAACTGTGCTGATTATGTTTACATAAATCTTGGTGAATAGAACAGCATTTATTGACTACTGTTTGTCATTTTCACTTAGGCAATTAAAAATAATCACCAAAGAGTCTCTTCTTAAAATCAATTCTCCTTTTTCTCCTTCAAAACTAAGTTAAAGAAAGTAGGCAGAAAAGAGGGGAGGGAAAGAAGGCAAAAGTTGGGCAGGGAGAGAACAAGATAGGAACACAGCAGCAATATGAATCTCCCCTCCGTCGGGAATTCAGGTATGACCTGTCAATTAAAACACAAGACCAGTAATAAGCAGTGAATTATCCAAGAGGTTTGTTTCCCTTTGTAACTAGAAAAGCATTCATAATCAGTATACAAAGGAAAACCAAATTTACTGATCTGTTCTGACAATCAGGGTGAATCTCCTAGCTGAAGAATGTCACAGCAACATTGCATCAATCTTTAGATGATCAGGAACTTGAAAAACTTCCTGGATAACAAAGTCAAGTAAAGCAACTTGGTTTTCACATGTTAATTTGTTTCGCATTTTATTTTAAATTTATTTAAGATAAAATAAATTTTTATTTTATTCAGTTTAAAATGACAAAGTGACAGTGGAAGACTTTTCAAGGTTCATCACACAGTAGTATGGTGTGATTGATCCAGACATAATCCAGAAAACATACTTGGACTGGGCTCTGTTAAGGATGCATTCTTTCCAGACTCGATGGACCATGTGATTGTGAAGCTTTGGAGGAATCCTCCCCGACCTCTTTGGACTGTGCGTAGGTACCATCCCCCCATCTTGGGAACTTAAGTGACTGGCGGTACTCTGCATACCTCCACTTTCACCTGGAAAACAGAGACAATTTGGAGTGTTCAATTTTTCTGAAAATGTATCACCTGCTGCATACACTGCTACCTTATTTACAAAATTCATTTTAAGTGTTACCCATGGCAATAACACAATTTATAGGTAGGGATTTATTCCCTCCCCCCACTTGAATGAATCTTTGTGTTTTCTCTAAGGCAACTGATTAGATCAACACTCACCTCTATCAGGAAACACACACACAGAAGCTTTCCTACTCCACCTATACAACTAGATATAATGTATAAAGAAGGGCACACAGTTTCAATATTAAAACTGCAAACATGCATTTCTTGCTTTGAATTTTTAAACACGAACACAGCAGATAAGCTTCAAGGCAGAACAAATCAGTAGAGGGAGCTTTATGCTCATTTAGTCAAATGGTTGTGTAACAACAGCACACAAAGCCCAGGCAGGGGAAGGAATTTAATAGCACAGAGCTTTCAACAAGGTCAGATTTCAAATTTGTGTGTGGAACTGTTTGTCTCTATGCCTGACACTAGTTGTGAAAGTTTAATACTAAAACACTGAAAAATGTTGTCTTGACATTTAATGTCAAAGGATTAAAACTTTCACTGGTTTCTTTCTAGTATGTTCACTGCGTTTTCCTAACTCCAGTTGAGTTGTAACCCATTTCTCCTGGCTATGATCACTAGTGATATTGGTTACTGAGGATTTTACTGCTCCTTTCTGATACAAGACAAATACCAGAGTCCATTTCCATTCAATTTCAATAACTTTCACCTATTTGATTTGATAAATACATTGTGGGTTTTATCCAATAGAACAAGGATGCAAAACAGTCAATTTAAGCACCTAGAAAACCTTTGCTCTCATCTGAAAAAGGAAGAAGCAACCTTATAATGCAGACTATTCTTCCAATCAACTACACAATCATTACTTGGGTTGAAAAGTTAGGCCTATTTTTCAAAAACAAAAACAAAACAAACCCCAAATGCTTACATTCCAAAGAACTGAAGCCTTCTTGTTCCCCCCAAAAATACAGTTATATTATAGATAAAACAAAAGACAAGAAATTTAGCCTTTCCTTGTTACCTCTTATTTTAAGAGTTTTCTGACAGAGTGCATTGATGTGAAAGAATCTGTTTCAATTTCACAATTGGTTTGCAAATGTCCATCATAAAAGCCAGGCAAGGAGATCCCATGCCCATGGTATCCTAAAAGAATTAATTTATGACCCCAAAAAAGGAGAAAACAAGCCACAGAGACGCTTCTGGTTAAAGCTGTACTACTGCTTTTCAGTAGCACTTAATGACTAAAGTGATATGTGGGTGCCCCTTACTCAGACTTCCCCAAGTTGTTAAAAGCATATGGAGTATTGCCACCTTCAGTAGCCTCCGTACATCAGACGCCAGAGGCAAAGTAAATGTACTTAGCCAAGTAAGACATGAGTAATCTTGCCAAAACTATTTGGCCCTTCTAAGTCTCTTGCTAATGGAGAAACTCTTGGCACTGTAGGTGGCAAGGCAGTCCACTCTGCCCTGTTTGTAGGGAAGCATGCCAATGTCCAGGGCTGAATTCATGCTTTATGACATGAAAATCTATACCAGAACTTTTTGTTTAGTTTAGTTGTTTATTTCAAAGACTGAAGTGGCATTAGAGGATTTATTTACCCCAGGCCTCCCACAATACTACATATAGAGTTAAGGGAAGGAATGTGAAGATCTGGAGTCATGATGACCATAGGAACAATGCTCTTCATGAGCAAAGCCCCGTCTCTGAATCGTGAAATCTACAGTTCTGAACTGGTGAAAGGTCAAGACACCATGTACAAAGCAGACCTTTAATTTTAAAGTGAATATAAATTTAGTAAGTACCCAGAAAACAAACAGATCAAAACTGATAAAAAATTATTTACATAGTATAATTATTAAAAATCCAAACCCTGAAATTAAAACTTTTCAAAGTACTGATAATTTTAGCAGTTTTTCTTTTTTAAAGATGAGAAAGGGTAAATTTAGTAAAGTAGAGCAAAGCAGGGAGAAATAGAAAGAAAGGAAGGAAGGAGCACCCCCAACACACAGCAAGTGGGAGCAGAGAGACTCATAAATTTTAGCCTTCATAAACTATGAGGACTCTGCCACAGATTACAAAATTAGTTTTCTTTTTCAATTTAAGGTACATGCAACAGAAACAGGCTGATGCCAAAATCCTTCCACAAGGGACCATCCAAATTCTCTGCCCCACAATATTAGACCTGGTATACAGTCAGCCCTCAGTATCCATGGGTTTGCTTCTAGGACTTGCCATGAATACTAAAATTCAGTGGTGCTTAAGAGCTTACATAAGACACAGTGCTTCTACCATCTACGCATCTTCCTGGTGCTGTGAATCATTTTTAGACTATTGTGTAGGTAAGACAATGTAAATAGCTGTCATACTTTTTGCTTAGAGAACACTGACAAGGGGAAGTCTACATGTGTTCAGTCTAGACACATTCATTTTCTTTAATATTTTCAATCTGCATTTAGTTGAGTCATGGAACCTATGGATACCAAGAGCCTACCACTTCCTTCTTACTCTCCCAGCAACTACATGGCTCTTACATGCGGACCATGTGTTGTCCACTTCTATGTCTCTCACAGAAAATCTGAGTAATTCCTTCCAAGAAACTTAATAGAGTGTGCTGAAACTGGATTTCTGAATATTGCTTTGAGGTTTTTTTTTGTTGTTGTTTTGTTTTGTTTTTATTCTTTGTAGTGCTTTAAGTTTTTTAAACTGCCATCTGTATATTGCTATACCATTTACAAGGGATTCTCATATTTGCTACTTAATATTCATGATAATCCTAAAAGTATGTATTTAACAAACAGGAAACTCAAGTTCGGAAAAGTCTGAGAATTAAATAAGGGCACTCACTTGGTGACAGACATAGCCCGATAGTAACAACAGTCAGGTCAATCACCAAGTCCTCTTCTCCAGTACATGCTTGAACCTAACCCTTCGCTGAACGCCCTCTGCATGGAAAGTACCTTGCCAGACACTTTGAAATGCCCTCCTATCTAATCCTAACAGCAAATTACCATGTTTACAAGTGTATTCTACGTGATAGTTTTTTTTCAAATTTTAGCTGTCAAGATTTCATTTACTTTGGTTTTCTTACCAACATGGCCCACATTAAACACCAATAAATAACCTCATTTCAGCTCAGGTATAATGAGTATAGTCCCTTAGTAACCAGATTTCCAATTCACATGAAGTCAACTATAACCAAAAAAGAGTTAAAATAGATTTAAGTTAAATTTTCCTTCTCCATTTTGTAAAATACCAGAGTTACTCTACTAGTTCCATTTCCTCCATCAACAATGTCTCCACATTGCTCACCTGATCCCTGCCAAGGAAACTATGTTCCACCCAGGACACTCCTCACTCATACTCACCTATGACAGCCTGCTCTGGAGAGGTGGGAGGAGTCAAAGGCATTCCACAGTTACTTGGGTCCTTCGTACTACCAAGCCCCTGTTGCCCAACTGTAATATGGCCTCCAGAACTGGCAACACTCTGAGGGACTGGGATGTCATTCTGAGAGATCAAAACAAAAGCTGAAGGGTAGACCATCCGAACACCTCCTGTAAGGGAAAAGAGCAAGGAGAGAGCCAGGTCTGAGAAAAGAGTATACACAAGACTGTAAACTTCACTATGATGGTGGTCAGGGCCAAAGTTCAAAGGGAAAATAAAGCACTACTAAATATAGAAAATTTCATTCTTTCCTAAGTTAGTATTTGTCTGAATATATGCTCCAATATGATGAAAACAGCATTTAGGATACAAGGACTATCAGGGCTTCAGGTGACATAACTACTCAGCACACAGCACTATGTTAAGAGAATAAAGATGGGGAAATTATGAAGACTGTTTCTGATGGATCTGAATGATCATCTTTTAAATTAAGAAAGATGAAATAGACAGAATGAAGGTCTCTGGGAAAAACTTCTCTTACCCACAATTACTTCAACTGCCACAGGGAAATCATCATCGTATCCCAAGTCCTCTTCCTCTTTCAACTCCTCTTTCTTTTTTAGCACCATCGGGTAGAAATACTGCCATTCTTCGATTAACTTGCGGGTGGCTGGATCTGACATCTTGTATGCTTGGCCAGTTAGCGTGCCATTTAAGCCATAAGGACTTACCAGTACTGTGAGAGAGAGGAGAAAAATATGCTACACATTAGAGGAATAATTCTTACATGTAAAACTACATGTGGTGATTTTAGTTAAAGCATAGAAGCAGTTCATGTATGTTGTTCCTTATTTCCTCAAGCCTTTTAAAGAATGATATTTAGCGCTTATTTTAATATTATTTATATGCATTTCCAACACAACAGTTTTTGAAGGAAAACGAATAGGGATAGGGTTACATTGTCTGCTATATCAATACACACTGTATACACTATGTGCACCAAAGCACATACATATACATTTCATAATGTTTGTGCAATGTGAACACTCCATCTTCCGTAACAGAAGAAAACTATTCAACACAAACAGCCAAAACCTGCCTGGAACTTGAGCACTGTGCCTGTGTTCCTGAGGTATCCTAAATATCTATGGTAACCAAAGAATAATGTGTAGATAAAACTTCTAATAGTAGGAAAGTCAAATTGTACAGACCTTGAAACGTAATGCTTATTTGTGATTTGAGTTACAACTGTTTTAGAAGTCTGTTGATGAAACACCTCTACATGAAACTTCTTGATCTCAAAGTAAGGAACTGCCAGTCCTACTTTCTTTCCATTTTTGACCTTCATGCATTTTCATTGAGTCAGACACAAAAATGTAATTAATGGAATTGTGAATAACCCAGCCAGTTCTTAGACTTGGGGAGAAGGTTCTCAACTTTCCAAACAACACTTTTCTGGGAATAAAGGTTGCCTTTTCTTTATCTTAATTTTAAAAACCATTGGTACAGTTATTAAGTGGAAGGTCCTTTTCATTGACTATTTATTACAACAGGTGTCTGATCTGGCACATCAATCAAGAGAGAGGGAATCTTTCTCCTGTTCCTAAATGATCCCAGTGGGATAAAAATAGTGAATCCATTCAACACAGCAAAGATCTCTTTTTTTCCACTGGTACTTCTAGAATTTCCCACATTAATCTGTATAATTATGTTTACCATAATTATCTATAAGCCAGCACCTGACCTAAGTATCTATCTCTTCCACACCATCATGGGAAACAAGCAGGATAGTGTCCCATAGACATCTTCTATGACTTGAGTCAGCAGTAACCACTAAGATTTAAAATAATTGGTCTGTAGGGACCTGGTATTCCTATTATCCTTTGCTATTCACAGGTTAGAAAGTGAATTCTCTTCCCTCATGTGAATTCCTTCCTGTTGCCCATGAATAAATGCTTTACTTTGAGTGATGAAGTCTAAGGTGAAGGTAGCCAGTCCCCTGTATTTTCACGCTCAAGGAAATACAGCATTTATGTAGTTCTGACAATTGCTAATGGCACATACTGAACAATGTGCACATGTGCACACTGAGAATGGGGCTGCCTTCAATTTTATACTGATTCAAACATAAATCCCCAAATTTTCAGAGTGATAAAGTATATATGTTGGAGGACAGGGTCCTAGGTAATAATTAGGATTCAGTTAAATGATAATTCAATATTTCTTCACCCTCCTCCCCAATAAAGGCTTAATTATCCTTAGGGTAAGAAACAGATTCTTTTATTAAATTAAATTGAGTAGTATGTAGAAACCCCAAAATGATCATAGCTAAAATGGAGGCCAAATACTCACAAGACAAGGTGGTATAGCAATTAAAATACCAAAATATCAGTATTTCAAAAATCATATTCCGGGGAGGCACAGATTGGGAGGACTGAAGTTCTAGGTTAGTCTGGGCAAAAAGCTGGCAAGACCCCATCTAAACTAATGGTTGGGTGCAGAGGCATGTGCCTGTCATCCCAGCTCACAGAGAAGCACGAATGGGACGATCATAGTCCAGGCTGGCCTGGCATGAAACAAGACTCTATCTCAAAAATAACCAATGCAAAACTGGCTGGTGGAGTGGGCTGAATGGTAGAATACCTGCCTACCAAGTACAAGGCCCTGAGTTCAAATCAAAACAAACCAGTCCCATCAAAAATAAATTATATTCTACATAATTTAATGAGACTATTTCAAACAGGTATCTCTGGCAATGACGTATTAGACCAAATCAAAAATCATTTTTCCATATGATTCAACCTACTATTGTAACATTTAAAACCTATTATCCATGAAAAATTCTGAATTCCAAAGAAAAAACAAAAGACTGGAATGCTCAGTTAGATCAAAAGGACATGAAGTTATTTTGAAGTATCAAGGCAGTAAAGATGAGAATTAAGAAAAATATGTACTAAATAAAATCACAACCAAAAACTTACTACTAGTGCAGTTATTAAAAGAAAATAATAATATCATTGAAGAAACTATATACTATCAATTCTTTAAAAAAACCTGATTTTGATTGAAATCTCAAATATTCTTTTATAAATTATATTCCTATAACCTTTTAAACAAACACAACCGTGAAATCCTTTCATTTATAAAATTCATGAATTACTCACTGGACTATATTTTAAAATATTGACGAATATCATTTATTTCTGAAGGAAACTCTGTATCTTATTCTTCAATACAACTTCCTATAAAACCACATTTTACTTATGTCATAACTTCCCCCATCAAATTAGCAAGATATTAATAACACACTTGTGAAATGGTAGCTGTTTCTTTCTTCTTCAAAAATGGACTCTTATACTTACCTTTAAAATGTCATTTAAGATAATATCTCATGCTACAAAACCTTACTGGGGCCAGGTATGGTGGCTCAAGCCTGTAATCTCAGCACTCAGGAGGCTGAGGCAAGAGGATCACAAGTTTGAAGTGAGCCTGGGCTATACAGCAAGACCCTGACTCAAAAAACACAAAACAAAGCATCTTACTGGACAAGGTGACTATGCACTTGGTGGCAGTGCAGAATAGTTGAAAGCAGGCACATCAGCACTGACTCACCTTGAAATGGTGCAGGTGAAGACTGAGCCATGTGTATGTGCTCCTCGTTGATCAAATAAATTGGCTGGTGCTGGGCAATCTCCACACTTGTGCACACATTGCTTTCTCCATGAAGAAAGAACGTGAACGCACAGGACAAATGCTCACTGAAAAAGAGTAAGCAGCCACTGTTACACTGTGGTAGGAGATGGGAACTGAAGACAGCAGATATGGGTGAGATACAGCTCTCCTTCCCAGCTAGCAGGCACAGCTGACCTCCAACTACCGTGGATAAAACATAAACTTCTAGTTGACTGCACACAAATAATATAAACAAAATGACTCGTTCAGAAACATTACGACGCCAGGTAAATCTGAGAAATAAGGCATGTTGCATCTGAACTTTTGAGAGCTACTGTGAGAATGCTTTTTCTATTTGTTGTATAAAATCTAACTTCTATGTCAACTATGAACATGGACAAACAGAGAAAAAGCTATAGTATTTCCTACTTTCTCAGGGATTAGTACATGCCAAGCACACAAAAGTGCGTTAAATCAAGGAAAAAAAGTGGTTTTGCCAGGCACCAGTGGTGTGCACCTGTCATCCTAGCTACATGAGAGGCTGAGATCAGGGTGATGGCATTCCAGGTCAGTGCCAGGGTAGCGGGGAAGTATGCGGATGTTTGTGAGACCCCATCTCAAGGACAAAGTCTGGGTGTGGTGGTATAAACCTGTCATCTCAGCTATAGAAGGAAGTGTAAAATAGGAGGATTGTGGTTCACACTGGCCTAGGCAAAAAGTGAGACCCTATTTCCAAAATAACCAGAGCAAAAAGGTTATTTGCTTTGTGGAGGTGTGGTAGAAGAGGTAGAGGGCCTATCTAGCAAGCACCAAGCCCTGTGTTCAAACCCCAGTACCTTCAAAAGAAAAGAAGCAAACAACAACAAAAACCCAGTGGCTTATGAACAAAATCAAAAGGCATCCTGAGTTGAGTTTTTAACTGATTCTAGGGTCAATGACAAAAGTTTTGCATGCATTTGATATAATACAACCATAACATGCAATTATAATTCTTCTATAAAGCTTACAACTTTACAATAAGGCTAAAATAGTGATGTGGTGGGACATGCCTGTAGTCGCAGCACTCTGGAGGCTGAGGCCAACCGTAGGCTACATGGCAAGCAAGACCCTATTTAAGCTCTTATCTATATAATCCACAGTAACTAAGGACGTTACTGAAGATACATCCCAATTAAACTGTTAGGGTAAGGTAGCTTGTAAATGGACTGGCAATCACTTTATTTAATTTCTGCAACTTACTTTTTCATTTACTTAAGACAGGGTCTTGCTACATTGCCCAGGCAGGTCTTGAACTTGTGATCTTCCTGCCTCAATCTGCCAAGTAGAGGGGATTACAGGCCTGCACCACTATACCAGGCTTATAGTTTTATTTTTGGTCACAGTATTTTATTGAGGCATTCCATGTCTCCGTTTTGCACACAGTTAGCTAAAAACTGGTTTTAAAAAATGAAATGTCATGGAAAAATAATTCCAGAACAAAGATAGAGGCACATTCTTTCAAAGTTGTTAATTTGGGCCTAAAATGGCCATAATATAGCCCCATTCCTCAAGAGAGCTCAAAAGAACACTTGCTTGATGAACCAACAAGGGTAGGCAAGCACCATCTAACCACACCTCCACAGCGCTGCTTTCCTTCAGTATCAGCAAGCACAGGAAGAAAGTCAAGCGTCCTGATTAGGAAACACCCAGTCTTGGTATTTGGGTTTTCAGCACAATAAAGCAAAATTGAGACTAAAATTTTAAAAAAACTGAAATCATACTTCTAACTTTTAAGTTCACAGAGAGGGGGAAGTACACAGAATTGAAACATGTACAGGTATAAAACAGAATCCACAATGAAAATGATTCTACAAACACATTACCTTCAACACATAACACATCTAGCTTGTAGATTAAGTGTTCTGCTGCAAATTTCAGCCAAGGGTCTGAACTGAATCATCCCTATTCATGTTAACCTCTGCAAGTCAACAGTTCATTTAGAAGAAACTGGTGGAAATTACAGATGTAAAGTGTATGTTCTCTATTAACACTGATTCCCCTACTGTGCATGAGAACAAATGCAACCATCAACTAGTAAGTGCAAAGACCTAAAGTGACGATGAAAGAAACATGGTAATTGCCCTCAAGGAGAATTTCAACTAGAAAGAGACTGATAAGAAATAACATGAATAAAAGCCAGGTACAAATACAGAAACAGAAGAAAGGAGAAAAATAGAAGGCACGAACCAGTTCAAGTTATAATACATATACACATGGAAGTGTCACAGTCAAACTCCAAACAAACAAAAATGCCTTCTTTCAAAAACAGAGAACAGGTGGGGGGTTGGCACCAGTGGGAGGGGGAAGAATATAAGGAAAATGTGAAGGAAGCTGAATGTAGTGGAAATACTACATACTCATGTATGCAAATGGAAAAAAGAGACCTGCTGAAACTATTCCAGGAATGGCGGAAGGGGGATAAAGGAGAATGATGGAGGGGTGAATTCAACTATGATATATTTTAAGAACTTTGATAAATGTCACAATGTACCCCCAGTACAACAGTAATATAATAAAAACAAAAAATTTCTTTTGCTTTAACAAAAAATGAAGTATCACAAGAGAGCTAAGATACATCACAAGAAGGCTGAGATACAGTGATTTCTTCAATCTACTATACAAAATGCTTCAGAAAGAAGATGAGAAGGTATGAGCACACTGTCTCAATAGCAGAACGAAAAATAAGGGAGAGCGAGCACAAAAACCACAGTGTTGTACTTAAGAACAAACTGGAGTTTGGAAATCGTAAGCAGAGGAGTGAAATGACATGATTGCAAAGGATTCTTAAGAAAAGTCCGATGCCACCACTTGAGGTAACACAAAGTGTTTTGTATGCAAAACATCAGGGAGCCAATTGGTTAGCTTAGAAAAGTTAGCTGAATGTAAATAATTGTTATGAAATTCTCAAAAAAATATTCATTTACATGTCATGTCCCAAAAACAAAGAACTAGAAACATAAATGAAAAAGGTAAGACTTGAACAAATGACATATTTTTAATATCGATAACTTTAAAAGCAAAATGTCTTTTTTAAAGAGATAATTCAAACAAAGTAGAAAAATAGCAATTAACAATAGAAATATAACAGAAGCGCCCAGTAACTGCATACTTTCTGGCAAGTTACTGCCGTCTCTGTGATGATGTTCACCCCTGCAGAGATGCAGGGCCCCCAGAGGCCCTGGCTCAGATGAAGGGAGAGGGGGTGAATTTGCATTTCTGACAAGTTTCCAAACTGCTGTTCCTTGCCAGAAGAGCACAGTGAAGACCACTGAACGTGGTGGTACTTAAATCTCTTTCTAGCTAGGAAATCTTGTATTTTTTCTAAGATTACACGGAAACAAGAGGCCAGGGGTGACAGCACTCACAGTAGAAAGCAGAATGCCCTTTTGACCTAGTAAAGCAACTTCTAAGAATTTATCCCATGGATAAATATTACTGATTTCAATAGTGCTCATAATAAAGTCTGAAAAGAGCCAAAATATCCATCAGAAGACCTGTTAACTAAACAATCTTATATCCCTACAAAGAAATACTGTGCACAGCCACTTAAAAGGACATGATTATACTGACATGGGGAAACTCTAAGAAAAATTGTTCTGAGAAAAAAAAACAGGTTTCGAAACAGTATGAATAATATACTCTCATTTTTGTAAAAAGGAAAAAAAGGCTAATACACGCACACACGTTTAGCTTATACTGGCATAAGATTTTTCTACAAAGACACACTTTCAAATCCTACTAAATTAGCTACCTTTGGGGAATGAGGCAGCATGACTAGCCGAGACAGAGAAATTCACAATACTCTTTTATTTTTCAATGTGGGGCAGATGTCACACAGTAAGCAATGGAGGCAATATGCAAGGAAACCCCTGCCTCCATCTTTGCGCAGTGTGTGTGCTGACCCACTGGGAGTGAGCCAGAGGAACTGTGATGCTTCTCCTGTCATAGCTGGCTCTAAATTGAAGCCTGCTGAGATCACTAGTGATCCTGATTCTACATACAGCATTCTGGCTATCCATAGTGTAAGGAAATATAAGCCCCAAAAGTGACCACGTGGAGAGAAGTGATCTGGCCAAAAGATTCTTTATTGCTGGGTGGGAGAGGAGAGGGAGCGGGGAGAGGGGGAGAGAGGGAGAAGGGGAGAGGGAGAGAGAGGGAGAGGGGGAGAGGGAGAGAGAGGCAGTTGCTTAAATAACCCTCAGTGGGACTCAAAATGGGCAGAAGGAGGGTTCAAGCTAGACTTGAGGCAGGACTTGTGACCCAGGGAGGCAGGACCGTGATCCTGGAAAACAGAAGCTTAAGGGTGCAGTAAGATCTGAAACCTAGCGGCACCATTGTTGCCAACATTCCTCCCTTTTTTGTTTGTTAAGGAAGGGGGTGTTGTGTTTGCTCTGGCTTCTTCGAGCTGGCAAGGGGCAGCATAGGGGAAGGGAGGGTTAGTTGGCAAACACTGTTGGGGTGCTGAGCCTCATGATGGCGTACACCCAGGCTCCGAAAATGAAGATTTCCTCTTCCCTGAAGTTGATGAAGGTCCCCTGCAGCCACAGGTCATAAAGAGTCTCGAGCCAATCCTCCGACATCCGCATGGTGGGTATCAGCCAACTATTCTCATATTTTGGAGAGGTTGGTATCCCTGGAGGTACAACTGGTTAAATTTTTGATCAGCAATAGCAGACATGCAGTGTGATACAAGGGAGGAGGCTTAAGAATAGGAGAGCAAGAACATAGGCATTAGGACGGGCATTGGCCAGGAGAACCACTGTGAAATGTTCCCTGACAATTTCAGGAGTCCTCCAACTACACAGAGAGAAATGGGTGGCCATACATTATCTAAGACCCAAATAGGAATATTAGGAGGAGCATAAAAAGGTGTCTGTTCAGGGACTACATACCTAGGGATCTAAATTCTGCAAAATCCTATAACTGCCAGGAAAGCTGTAAGCTGTCTTATGGTATGGGGGTTGGGAAACGGAAGATTGGGTTGATGCATTTGTGACTCAGGGAGTGAGTCTGTCCCTTTAAGGCCACACCTAGGTAGGTGACCTGT